CCAGAGCTATGTCAGAAATCAGGCTTTGATCTAACCTACCGTAAATACTGTAATAGTACCCCACCCCCATAATGACGGTGCGGAGTGTTGCGTAGTCTAGCTTTGAACGAGTTTTTCTCGACACTGGTTTATGCTACAATGCGCGCTTTGGTATCAACAAAAAGCCCTGAATTTCAGCTATTTTTTGATACCAAAGACGCATTTTTGTAAGTACGGGCGCTTTGGAAAAAAATGAAATACTAAAAAACTTTTGCGACTACGCGACTGTACGAGGGGGGTGGGGTACTATTACAGTATTTACGGTAGCTACCCTGGTCAGCCTAATTTAGCAAAATTGCTATTAAAAAGAGAGATTGCTTTTGGGAATTTATTGGGTTAGTGAATTGAAAACTTCGGGACTTTGAATTAAAATTTATTGAACATAAAACCATGAATTCATTCCAAATAATTTCCATTATTATTGACGACTTCTGCCCATTTTACAGGCAATTTGCGGATTCCTCTTTCGTAGTAGGATTTTGGTGTGTGTGTGAGACAAGTGTGAGACTCAAAAATGGAGGACTGGAGATGTCCCAGTTTGAGCACTTTCTCCAAAAGAAACCCATTTTGGTGTCAATAGAAAAGTTGTAGAGAATCAAAAATTAGGGTTATAGCCAAATTTCCAAAAAAGATACACTTAGTAGTTTCGCTTAAAATGCAAGCTTTGTGAAAATTCGTAAATTTGGCATTTCTTGAAAACCAGTTTTTGAATCGTTCTGAAAATTTGGATATAAGTTTAATTTTTGATTCTCTACAACTTTTCCATTGGCACCAAAATGGGTTTCTTCTGAAGAAAGTGCTCAAACTGTCACATATGATAATAGCCGGCTGTTTTCAATTCACCAACCCAATAGCTTACGCAAGGATTTCATTTTATAAAATCTTTTTTTTAAAAGAGATACTAAAGGAGCTTTTGAAAAATTTGAAAAAATAAGTCCGACTTTTTACAAAAAAAAACGTGACCATTTAGGCTTTGAAAAACAGCCAATTTGGAAGTTTTAAGCTTGAAAGCAATAAAAATTCACAAAATCAGCAATAAAAGTTGTTTTTGAAAAGCATCAGTTAATGGTCGAAACGAGTTCAAAAAAAGTTTTTTGAAATTGAATATTTATACACATAAACAACTCTTTTTTCAATATTTATTCTCAGGTTTCGGTGCTTTACGGTTAATGGGCGGTTGAGCGATTATCGGGTGGGGAGGCGAGTTTTTGGCCAACTTGCAGCTCATTTTTAAGCACCTTAAACTTGTCAGATCAGGAAGTTTTAATAAGATTTAGATAGCTTAGAACGTCAACTTTTAGAAACTATTTCTTTCATCAAAAGTTATTACCAAAAACCTCTCTAAAATCGGGCTGCAAAATGGCCAAAAACTCGCCCCCGCCGATAACCGTAAAGATCCCAGGTTTTCAATGATTTCAATAGATTTTCAATACGATTTTCAAAAATAAGCTTTCAGAAATGCATCACTTCAATCTGGTTTCAATGATTCTTTGCATATGCGCTTGTTTCTTACTTCTCTACAATTTCTATGCTCAAATTCGGGGAATTAACCAGACACATTTTGAAGATTCGACTGTACCAATTGATTCAATATTTCTAGAGCAACAAAAAAGAATGAACGACCTTGAAACAGTGATTTCAGAAAATTCTGATGTGAGTTATCACTGTTTTATCCAAAATTTCTTCTTTCAGCCTTTACCCGAGAGATCATCGAATGTATCCGCCGAGAAACTTTGCTTGATTCATAAAAATTGTGTCCCAATGGTAGCAGATTATGAAACGAGATGGAAGGTGAGTCAATTTAACAAGGGGAAGGTAACAGTAGGATGTGGTCAAATGGGATAAGCTATAGCTGCCGCAGAATTTCATGCTGATTCCGAAATGGCTTTCCGTTTTTGCAAAATGGCTTTCTATAAAAAGTTTTACATGTGTGCAGTGAGAGGGGGTATAATGATCATGGTGCAATGATTATTTAGATATTTTATTTCAAATCTAGCAAAATCACTAATCTAGCGAGAAAATACAATAAAATAGACTCAATCGTTGGTTCAGTGTTTCAAAGCCAAAGAAAAGCAATACAAACAGTGCAATACAGTGGGCTCCGTCCCCTTTTATCACACAAATGATCTTTAGAGGAAGGTCAAGAGAATCAGAGATATTCAAAATCAAAGCATCAAATAAGATTTCACAGAAAAGAGCTACTTTTCTGCACAATATGTTTTAAGTTTTGTTTTAAAATGCGAAAATTTGGGCCCGAATAGAGATGCCTTTATAAGGATTTTCTCATGGATTTATTGTTGCGATTTCGAACCCATTTTTTTAGAGTTGCGTTGAGTTGAAGCGAAGTTCTAAGAAAAGGTGAAAAATTAGTGTTTTTCGATGTTCAGTTAATAGATTTTCCTTGTTATATTAATTGATCTAGTGCTATAAATTTGTTGGAAATAATTTTGAAATAAAATGCCACAAATTTGGCGAAAAGAAACTCTCTCTGATTGAAGAATTTTTTATGAAGATAGCCAAAAATGCCATCGTGCCGGAGAGGGATTAACTACCGTAAATACTGTAATAGTACCCCACCGTCCTCGTACAGTCGCGTAGTCGCTAGTCGCAAAAGTTTTTTAGTATTTTTCAAAGCGCCCGTACTTTCAAAAAAGGCGTCTTTGGTATCAAAAAATAGCTGAAATTCAGGGCTATTTTTTGATACCTAATTTGCACATTGTAGCATAAACCAGTGTCAAGAAAAACTCGTCCAAAACTAGACTACACAACACTCCGCCCCGTCATTATGGGGGTGGGGTACTATTACAGTATTTACGGTAGTACTCATTCAAAGGCTTGTAAAATGAGTTGTATATCTTCAATCGGGAAACTTTTAATAGATAAATGTAGCCAAGTTTAAGGGCTTTAACTTTTTATCTAATACTTAACACATTGGGGTTGAACTTGGCGCTTGGGAGCTAATCTACTAAAAGAAATCGAATGATTAACAACTCAGATCTAGAGAACTCTTACTGACTCACTGAACACTAGTCAAAAGGTTTTCAAGAAATCTATTTTTAAATCTGAACCTATCTTTTCTATTATTTTACTATAAAAAATCTTTTAGACAGTTCCAAGATTCCGGTTAGCAAGCTGTCTTATTCACAAGAGCATGTCCACCGTTCGTTTCCGGACTGATGTGTTTCCTGCAAAAAGCTGAGCAATATAAGAGAGAAAACTTGAACATCACCGATTTTGAAGCTTCTAAAGAGTAATTTTATTAGCTATTTAATGTTAGTTCAATAAAATTCAATTTCTATTAGGCTTTGTCCATCAAATAGTTACCACAATTTCGAAAACATTACGAAAATGTTTTGGAAACTTGGCTGGAAATATTTCATCGTGACTCGCGATCCGATTGATCGCTTTTTAAGCGGTTTCGTGGATCGATGCATTCGGTAAATCTTTTATCGTTTATAATCTAAATTATTTCATATTTTTTCGGGAAACCAAAAGAAAAGCATCATTATTGCAACGGTTGTGCGGCGAATATGACGTGTTTCTTGGAAGCCGAGTACACGAAAATCTCTCGTCAAATCCGACAAAGAAAGCTTTCAGTCGGCTTTGAAGATCGACACTTTTACCCACAAACTTGGTCAGCTCAAAAAACGAGATCACATTTTTACATAAAGTTCAGGAGATGTCAAATGCGGGAACACGCAAGTGAGTACAAATTCATCAAGTATAGCAGTGATCCGAGTGAATCTGTGATACCGGCACTTGTGGAAGTACTTGAGCAACAAAAGGTTAGCAAAACAACAAACAACAAAGCAACAACAAAACAACAAGCAAAACAACAAGCTGGTGAATTCGGGATTCTTTTGTCATCTCTTTTCAGATGTCATTAGCAAAATCATTAGCAAAAGCTAATCATTTCCAGGTGCCCAAATCCTACATCGATTGGATTAAAACCCAGCTTGTCACACAAAGAACCGACCACTCAACGATTAACTCGGAAGCAAGAAAATTTCTCGAGAAGCGACTCCACTCTAGTCCATATTTGTTAGAATTATTAGTTCGATTGTTTTATCAAGATTACAAGATTTTGGGCTACGAGTTGCCGTTTTGATTTTTTCTATGTTGTCTTTGAATTCATCGAATCGGGTTTAAAACGGGTATAAATTCAATAAATTTTGAGTAATAATAACGATCAACAATGAGACTTTTGTACGCACCAACATTTTGAAAAAATTGAACGCAGTTTTCAAAGACTCTTGTTTTATTCATTTTTCCTTAGCTGAATCTGAGCGTTTATTTAGTTCAGTTGGGCACATTTAAAACTGATTTTCGAAAATCTTTGAAGCCCGAAACTTTGAAAATCTTGGTTTCAGCTCAACGATCCTGATCCGAATCGGATCAGATTCAGACAATCCGGCAAACAAAACTTCGCATTGGATCACTTTCCAGACAACCAAATTCGATTTGACCAACTCAAATGCTGAACGGTAATGCATTTAACGCAAAAATCAAAAAGGCTTTACATTTTTTGACTGATTCAAAGGCGCTCAATGAATCGTGAAGCACAAAAATGAAAACCAAAAATCTTGCGGAAATTGCTTTGACTTTAGCTTTTTACATTTTTCTCGAAATCTTTAAAGAATTAAAAAAAATCAAGTTATTGAGAGACTTTTATGAAAAAGGTTACAAAATTAATGAAAATTTATATGAAAAATGATCATGACATGTACGAAATTTCTTCTTGACTGCTTTGAAATTGATAACAAATTTCTTATGAATCAACAAGCTTTCAATCACAAATGAATTGAGGAATTATGCTAGTGCTAAAAAATTATGCGTATCTCCAAAAATTATGCAAAACCATTCAAAAGTTATGCGCTAAAAAGTATTATGAAAATTACGACCAAAGAGAAAATAACTAACTAGGTAATAACAACCATTCAAATATCATTGGAATCAAATTACTTTGGAAGCAGTTTCGAGATGATCGAAGCCGTGATCGGATGCATGTGGCTAATGTTTGCCTAAAATTGATTTAAATTTCAATCGTTATCAAAGCAAACCTTGAATTGATCGATTGCACGAGTCTTGCTGAATGGCCACTCGAAAAGTGCTCTGAAATTTGAATATTGAGTCCTTTGGGAAATTTTCAAAGGATAGTTTTGAGTAATATAGAAGAAAATTTCTCATTACAAAATTTATGGCTGAACTTCAAGTCTGATAAGATAAAATCTTAATTACTAGCATGAAAGTATTCAGACGTTAAGAATGAGTGCCTTAAATTTATTTGAAAATCGATGTATAGGCCTTAACAATTGAATAGGATATCATTATTTGACTAATTCGAAATTTCAACTGGTTTTGCAGTCAGGCTTGGCTTAGGCTTTTAGAGCTTTTTTCGTAAAACTTACTTGTAAATTGGTTTGCAGTATTTGAGCCGACCTACTGTTAGCACCCAAGCGAGAGCTGGAACAACCGATGGAGTCTAAAAGTCATTTCCTTTACATAAGCAATAATTCTATCTAACCCATTGATTCTCAATTCCCATCATCAGCCACGAGAACTTCAACTCGGAATTTTTCGATTTATCAAGATTGTACAATGAAGTGATATTGGTCAACTAAAGCTTAAATTTTGAATCAAAGCAAAAAAATTACTTTATCTTCGGACATCTTTCCATTTGCACGAATTACATCGATGACAGCCACCTGAATATTTCAATCAATTCATTCTTTGAAATGTAATACTTTTTGACTGCTAATCATTTTCTCAAAATCATCTCTAGTTGTTGGCGGACTGTCACTGAGCCAAGCCTCACTAAGACGGCGGCACATATCTCTCAAGGTTGAGTCGTACCTGAAAGTTTTGGTCATTAGAATCTTTCATTGAAAGACGTTATGGTAGCCAAACACTTATAATATTGTTCTAGCTAGTGTATGCGTACATTGGGCTGGGGAGTATGAAATGGCGGCATCTTCGGACGAACTTTTGAAAAAACTAAACCATAACTTTTTCTCAAATTTTTTATTAATAATAATTGAAGTTTTGTTGATTATACACGAAAATTTGGTCCCGATTTGATGCACAGCTTTTGAGAAATGAGAGATGACGTGTTAAAAAGTCGATTTTTGCATAATTTTCCCTTAAAATCCAGACCGCTAAAAATTGTGCAACAACTTGCTAGATTCAAAAATCGTTTGAGCCAATATGTTTGTACAAACCTGCTAACCAAAATAAACATAAAATTAGAATTTTCGAATAAGAACTTGTCACTTTTTGAGAACGGATAAGAGATTTTTGAGGATTCCAGGACTCAGACACGTCTTTTTTAAATCTTTAATTTTTATTATCGAACTTGATTTATTATTTTATAAAATAGTCGTTTTAACTGGATGCCAGTCGAGTATTTTTGCTACAAACATTGTCACGTCAAGTGGCAGCCAAAAATCGACTTTTTAATACATCATCTCTCATTTCTCAAAAACTGTGCACCAGATCGGGATGAAATTTTGGCTTATAATCAATAAAACTTCAATTGTTATTAGAAAAAAATTGAGAAAAAGTTATGATTTAGTTTTTTCAAAAGTTCGTTCGAAAACGCCGCCATCTCATACGCCGCAACCCAATAAATTCTTGATATCCTTTATCAACACTCACTTTGGTCGAACGGGTGGAATTCCGGGTGCAGTCAACCATTGATCCCAATCGATTTTGTTCAGCTCATCCTGATAAATTTTGAATAAACCATCAAAGCTTTTCAAACCGTTTTGTCCTTGTAAAATTCATATAGAGTAGAGCGCCAATCATCGGTGAAAATCGATTTGTGCGCATACTTAGCTGAAAATTGAGCTAATTGCAACTGTTGGCGCGTGGATTATTCTAGTTATTTCATATTTTTATTGGTAAGGTAATATTTTTAAAACGTTACCGATGTAAGCGCGTAGAAACTCCTCAAAACGAGCGTTATCCCCAAGCGTTTGCTCAAGGTGAAATAGGAAAGCGGATCCCTAGAAGAAAAAATTTAGTTGAAAAAATTATAGCTAACCTTTTCATAAGGGATACAAGAAAATGCGTCATCAGGATCAACTCCTTTTTGATTTTGAAGCAACTTTGTGTACTCATGAGTTGGCCCGAAAACTTTGTTGATCGTTGGCAGCATGTTGTCCTGAAACATTACTTGTCTGTTTTTTTTGCATAGCGAACTACCTCCCATCCGCATTCACTCTCGAATTGTCGGGCTTGTTCACCATACATCCGGCCGTGTATCTTTCGCTCAAGAAACACGGTGAAGCCCTCGTTTAGCCTTAATGGAGATAAAAGTTAGGCTAGTGGTAAACCGGATCAATTAAGTTTTAGAACAACTTACAATAAGATCAAAAATTACAATAAGATCAAACTAAACTACAATCAGATTAGGCTAGGCTAAGCCAGTTGCGGTCAGGTCAAGTGATCTGAACAGATAAAGCCATAGTACAGGGTGCGTCATAATAAAAAAAATAAAAACCCGGACTCACTTTCAATACCCAAAGATGGTCAAAACGCACCCGATCCCTTGCATTTTCTGGTGATGGTGAATTTTGATGTGGTCTCCCGTAGCGGTGCCTATTTGCTAGTCGATTAAAGCTCTCAACTTTTTTATATGAGCTTCAAAAGTTGGGAGTCGCGCTTCTTCTGGCTACTCACTTTGGGTTTTTTAAGACTTGTTTCCTCCTTGAAGTTTTCTTTTATTTCCAAAATTTTTTTAATCATGGAGAATAAATGCTCCAAGCCTCAAAGAAATAGACCTTCTGAGTTCAAGTTCTTTTTCTGTATCAATGTGTTTTGCAATCCATTAGATTTTATCATCTTAGTCTTTATCTTGGTTAAATGTTTTGGGATTTGATAAAATTATATTTTTCTCAAGAAAAACACAGATCCTAAAGACTTGTGCCGAGAAAAGTTATACCCCAAAATGGTAGGTGCCGGGATTAACTGGAGGAATATGTTGTTCTGACTAAGATGATAAAATCTAATGGATTGCAAAAAAACACATTGATACAGATAAAAGAACTGTTTGCGAACTCGAGAAAAGGTCGGTAAAAAAAGATTCTTTTGAGGCTTGGAAGCATTTAATTCTCCATGATTTAACAAAACATTTTGGAAAATACAAAAAGTATAAACTTTTCAAGGAGGAAACAAGTCTCAAAAAACCCAAAGTGAGTAGCCAGAAGAAGCGCGACTCCCAACTTTTGAGGCTCATATAAAAAAGTTGAGAGCCTTAATCGACTATCAAATAGGCACCGCTACGGGAGACCACATCAAAATTCACCATCACCAGAAAATGCAAGGGATCGGGTGCGTTTTGGCCACCCTTGGGTATTGAAAGTGAGTCCGGGTAATTATGACGCAACCTGTAGACTAGGTTAGATCAAGGCTAGGCAAACTATTTAAGTCAGGCTAACCAGTTATTGTTCAAGACAAGCGTGCTCAGATCAAGCCAGACTAAGCTTGAGCCAATCCCAGGCCTGACCTGGTTAGCTCATAGTCAAACCAAACAACTCCGTTGAAGCCGGTAGCCCAAATCAACATAAAAACTCTACCAGAAATGCTCCCAATTTGCATTAGTCACCAAATTTCCAGTCCATGAATGAGAAATCTCATGTGCCACAACGTTCACCAAAGATCGATCGCCAGCCTAAAAACTTCATGTAAGAAACTACCTTCATTAGAATCCGAACCAAAAGTGTTGGCGTGATAAAAGTCATGCACGGGTTCTCCATGCCTCCATAAGGGAAAGTTGATGGCAAAACCATAAGGTCATAGCTAAAGGAAAATAATTGAGCAAATAAGCTCTTTCTCACCGTCCCCATTGATATGGTCCAGCCAGATTCTCAGCGACAGTCAGAATTTTCTCGGTTTCTTCAAATTCCCAGTGTGCCGCATCGATTTGTGATGGCTCGGCCCAAACAGCACATCTAGAGAATTGGATGAAATAACCTCTTACTACTGGAGTATTGATTAATTCTTGTAGGTAAACAATTCTGTTCAAGTAAACCTTATTATTGACCATTCTATTAGGCTGTCCAGAGAGTCTTTTCCTTCCTTTTTGTACTTCCTTTTGAAAAATAACAATTTCATCAATTAACTTATGATTTGCTTAAATAAAAAGTGTTTATTGTTAAATTTCCATCTTTTCAAGTCAATTTTGACTCACTTTCAAGCCAAATCGAGAGTGAAAACGCGTTTTTTCATAAAAATCTATAAAAACCTCTATGAATAAATTGGCTAAACGAATTTCTCTGAAAATTGGCTTTATGCCTAACTTTTTATGCTCTATCTTTTATCTATTGACACAAAGATAGGTTTCCCTAGCTAACGTGTCTAAACCGCATCATCGAGCCGTCGCTCTTTTTGACGACTTCTTGCTCCCAAAATATCCAGATATAAGGCATTTTACCCCCGTTTTAATGTTATTTTGCAGAAAAATAATTGGCCTTTCTACTGAAATAAACCGTACTTCAATTGGTGTATTTGTTGGTTTTAAACAAAAGTACAAAAAGGAACGAAAAGACTTGTTTGCCAAACTGATATGAGTGCCGACAAAGACATACCTTTCACTGATGTCCTTCTTGACGATCTTGCCAACAACAATCGCCAAAAGATACGTTGGAATGGGTATCTAAATTTGGATGAAGTCCATTTTAAGGCTATTCATACCTTCTGTTCATAAAAAAACACAGCTCTATCACTCTCTTCTTTCACTTTATCACCAACAGCCGACATGACACAAGTTAAACCGGCGGGAACTGATACCTAAATCCGATTCTTTGTCTAACTTGTTATCGATCAACTCACAGTGGCATCATAAGAAGCTTTGGCAGAGGGAGTGTCCATGCTAAATGTTCGTGATGCAGTAACAAGTAAAGTTTTAGTACTAATTGGATATGAAATTCTTGACAAAAAACTCACCATGGCATCAACGAACGAGCATGAATTGCTTGACATTGAGAAAACAAGTAGGGAGCCAGCTTGTCTAAAAGTTGTCTAGCTTGTAAATTTACCCAGTGGACAATACCAGTTGTTTGTTCCGCTGACAGAAATTGAACGGCTGAGGGAGGCGACGATGTTGCGTATTCGATTCGAACCTTACTAAAGCAAATTGCAAGTGTTGAGTTACAATTAAGGCTTCTACAATATGCGTACGCACATAAATTTAAATTTTAACTTGGTTTAAAGTGTTTGTTGCAAGTCTTAGATGCACAAGCAAAGTTCACAGATTGGGACGGTTAAGATTTTGAAAATTTTGATGCTTAAACTTGTCTACAGAGTGTGCCAAAAGTTCTGTCACCTCCCTAAAGTCGGCCAAGGCTCAATGAAAAATATCATAGAAAATAGTAGAACTTTTAAACTATCTAGTAGCGAAGTTCAATGGCATAGGTTGCTCCCGCAAAAAAAATAAGAGAGCTAGAAAATTTAGTACCCTATTTCTATCCTGAATTTTCAAAATTTTACCAAAAATAGATATTAAAATAATATTTTTTGATGCTATACCCCTAGAAAACTCATATTACATAAAGATTTATTTGCTGTCCAGCTTATTTAAAAAAATGAGGACCATAGATACTCTCAAAAAAGTTTATACTTGAAATTCCGGCAAATGGTCCGCGACCAAATGCCTTGTTTATAAATTTGTTACTAGTAAAAGATAGAATCTTCTAGGAACATTTTATTTGACGCTCTTTATCCGTTTTTATTCAATATTCATAAAACAAGCTCACAAAAATCCAAAGTCGATTGGTATTTGCCTTAAAATTTATAAACCCGGTAGTAACAGAACTTTTGGCGCACCTTGTATATCTATGTCTATATTAACTTTTATGTAATTTTATTATTTGTAGATTAACCCGGAAATTGTCACCCACCTTGTTGTGTCAGCTTTAAGCTCTGGCACCACCACTTCGATCTTTTGCCCGAATGGTGCATAGTCAGCAACGGAAAACTTCAACTCGTCTTGATTTCCTTCAAGCCAGATTTTGGAAATTGTGAGTCCAGAACCGTCAAGAACCTATATGTTGGTCAATAAGTGTGAAATCTGCGAAACTTACCAATTTTGACGTATCCTTCTTCACTTTCAAATCAATGACCACATTTCCATGAATGAGCTCTTTGTCGAAATCGACCGTCCAACTAGTAAGTTTTGATTAAGATTTGAATTAAATCACTCACTTCAAAGAATAATGCGTGGGAAGGACTTCGTCGAAGTTTGAGCACGAGGCGGGATCCATCTGGAAGTTAATGGGTAGCTTTATAAAATCTGTAAAATCAAAACAAAACCATTTAACCTTACGCAATTAAAAAGGTACCTTTTTAATCACTTTTTTAAAAATAATTATACACAAAACCCAAGAAGGTCGGGCCGATTTGATTTGGTAAATTTTGCGCGTTTTAGTTGAAAGACAATTGGTTAAGCAAAGTTTATGCGGCATGTGCAAAAAGATTCGAAGACAATGGAGTAGAAGGGAGCCGAGGGAAACGAAACAAAACAATTTTAGAAATCTAAACAGAAAACATGAGCGGAACAATATAAGGAATTTGGGGAGACAGGTAACCTTAAAACGCGCTACAAAAAGGAGGATAGATTTTACAGAAGTGGAAGGAAACTTATGCGGGATTCAGGACAAAAACCGGCTAACATTCAGGGCATAAGGAAATGAAGGAAAATGAAAAGAATGGTAAAAGGGGAATATTTGTGCGGGGTACGGTAGCGCATCCACGCTTTAGAAAGCGCGCCGCGCTGCTTTGCGCCAGTCCTTTTAAACCACGCGTAAAAAGGATTCGGTACTTTTCCAATATCGGGGGAGCGAAATGAAAATCAGGGGAGCAAATTTTGCCAGCGCTACATATGTCCTATATTATACAAATTACCACCATAAAATTGGCGAATTACCCGTTATTCTCACAACCTTTATATTAGATCACAAAAGTGATTTAAAATACCCAGCGAAATAGATCTTTTCCCTTTGAGCGGACTTCCATCAATTCGTCACAGTTGCAAATCCACGACTGGATGACTCCTTTGGTGACGAAATAATCGATTGCCGTCGATTCCTTAAACGCACAAATGTCGGAGAAGCGAATCGTCGTTAAAGTTTAAAAAAGCGTTGCAGTTAAAATACACTCCTGGAAATGCATTTTTCGTGGGGGCAAAATTTGCTCCCCTGATTTTCATTTCGCTCCCCCGATAATCGGACCGCTCCCCCGATATTGGAAAAGTACCAAAGGATTCTAACTGGGTACATGTAAAATCAAAATAAATCAAACAAATCAAACAAAAAACCGAAGATTGGATTAAGGCAAATTTAACTAAATGTTTGTTTTAAATGGTATAAATTCGTTTGCAAATAGGATTTTTTTGAAAACATAGTTTTTAGTTGATAGATAAGTAAATTTGTTCCCTATTTTAAACATTTAACCAGTCAAACGGTCAACAAAAGACGCAGAATGTTAAAAAGTAGACGAAAAGGACAACAAACTACACGATGTTTGAAAATTTTCTATCATAAAGAGAGGCTGTTGACAATTGGCATTCCTTTCTGTTTAATTGTCATTTCTATCTTTACCTTAATACTTACAATGTTTCTCTAAGCTATGAAAATGGTAATTTTTTTTCTTTTCTTTTGAATAGAACTCATTTTAGCTAAAGACTTCACATGCCGCAAAATGGATTCTGAGAAATACGAGAGTATCAAGCGAAAGTCTCACACAGTCAATAAAACTTCATTTGATCACAGAAGTAAGTTCAAATGTTTGAATATATAAGACAAAGAATGAGATCTGAACGTCTTACCCAGTAGTTAATGAGTAGCTGGATGTTTACAGGGTCATTCAAAAGTTCAGGCACAACTTTTTGTAAACGCAACTAGCAAATGTCTAACTTATTTCAGAAGTAAGTGTTATGTAGAGATTTGAAGCCCGGAATCTTGGCTACATTTACATACAAAAAGCTTTGAAATTGGAGTCACACAACTCATGTAAAAAGTTTGACAAGTTGTGACAAGTCCTTGATTGAGCACTACTCGGAATTACTCGGAATTAAGTTCAATGCATTTCTAGAGGTAGAGCAGCACATACATCAAAATCTGGATGCAAATTGAACACCAAAAACGCTTAATTTTCGCTTTTTTCCTGAGCTTCAAAATGAACTTGAAAACAAATTGAATTTTGGTTAGGAAAGTTTGACAAAACAGTTGAATGTTATTCTTATTCTTATTAAATGATAATAAATGTTACATTTTAATAAAATAAATAACAAAAAAGCTCTTTTAAAAAAATTTTTATAAAGAAAATCGTCAAAAATGCCGAAGAAAGAGACCGAGTAGTGCTCACTCAAAAACTTATCACATGAGACCCCAATTTAAAAGCTTTTGGTATGTAAATGTAGCCAAGATCCCGGGCTTCAAACCTCTACATAACACTTACTTTTGAAAGAAGTTAAACATTTGCTAGCTTTGCTGCTAAAAAGTTATACTTTTGGTACACCCTGTAGTGTCGGATTAGTTACTCGAAAGGGCCAAGTCTTGTATTGGGTTGATGGAAAAGTCCTTTCCGATTTTTTGGGAGAGGACCTTAAATTTGTCCAATTTTGACGTTTTATAGCTCATCCTTAAGCTGAATTCAAGACGGATCGATTGGTAAAAACCGTTTTGAGATATCTCTTTTTTAAAAGTTTTAACAGCTATTTTGGTAAAGGGCGGCAGAGCCAAAAAATGGCTGTTTTCACGTTTCGTTAGTTTTCCGTGCAGAAACCTAGGCTAAAAACATGTGTTTCGTGATCGGCGTCAAAAATAACCCCTAGACACGCATTTTCAGAATCTTAGCAAAAAATTTTTGAAAAATATTGTCACCGGTGGAAGTCGAACCAGCGACCCTCAGATCAATAGCCTTTCCGCCGCTTTTCGCGATTTTCCTTCGTTTTTCTCTTTTTTTTTGTTCTGATTCTGAAAATGCGTGTCTAGGGGTTATTTTTGACGCCGATCACGAAACACATGTTTTTAGCCTAGGTTTCTGCACGGAAAACTAACGAAACGTGAAAACAGCCATTTTTTGGCTCTGCCGCCCTTTACCAAAATAGCTGTTAAAACTTTTAAAAAAGAGATATCTCAAAACGGTTTTTACCAATCGATCCGTCTTGAATTCAGCTTAAGGATGAGCTATAAAACGTCAAAATTGGACAAATTTAAGGTACTCTCCCAAAAAATCGGAAAGGACTTTTCCATCAACCCAATATTTGGATAAACCGCTCAATTAGTCAAAATCCAAGTCTTGGAACAAGTTTTTCTCATAGTTAATAACAATTTGTAAACAAAGCGTAAGCAATCTATTCTCATAAATCTACGATTCATGCATTTCCAGGCTTGTCCATTGTGGATGTCAACTCCCGAGCAATGCCCATTCCCTGATCCCTATTGGGCATTCTATTGGCCAGGTGGGCAGGCTTTGACAAAGTTCGTACTATCTAAAGATAGCTAAGGAATTCGCGAATATTTTATACCAAATTTCATCTCTTAGATTCATTCTCGAAAACCCCGAAACAGTGAAAAATTATTCTGTGCTTGATTGGGGTTGTGGTTGTGGAGCCTCTTCAGTAGCTTCTGCGATTTCTGGTGCTAAAGCGATTCTCGCTAATGACATTGATAAAAGTTAGCAAAAGCTTGAACTTTAAAAATATCTATAATTTTAGATGCTTTATTAGCAACTCTACTCAATTATCGATTAAATCGAATTTCTCTCTCAAATACGGAATTTTCCTCTAGAAACTTCGTTGATGATGCTGGAGTCGAGGAGCTCAGAAAGTTTTTCAAAGTAGGTATAGATCTAGTTTTAAAACTTTGAAAGAATAATTTTGTGTTAGAATTATATACCCTAAAGTCGCGAGTATAAGTTCTGTTTGGTTTTCGCATGCAAATTGACGGCTGTCTCCGGTGCGGTGTGTCGAGGGTTCGAACCCCGCTGCAGCATAACTTTTTTGCTTTTTAAGAACAATAATAGAAGTAAATTTATTGAGGGTTATAGCAATTTTATGCTGTTATTTGTTGCTCCGGGCGTGGCTCGGCCCTGGCCCTGGCCGTGGCTCGGCGCGTCCGCCCTGCTCCTCTCCGGTGCTCAGTCTTATGGATCCCTCCCTGGCCTCTTCATCCGGCCAAAGTCCACGTCGACGGTCGAAAGAGATGCTTTCCAGCGTCTTCTTCAACACTATCGTCTGGATGTATCCATGCACATAACAAATAGCAATGGTGATAGGCGCTGTCACCCTGTAGTATCCCGCGCTCCAAGAACAATAATAAAAGTTTATATAACAATAAAAATGTATAAAAACCCAACAAAAAGAAATTCAAAGCAATTAAAGCGAATGTAAATTAAGGCAGAACTTATATCGAGACTTTAGGGTAAATTAAAATTAAAATTTTCTATTCAGGATCCCGAAAAATCTTTGATTTTACTTGGCGATATGTTTTATGACAGCGACTTTGCCAGTACGGCTTTCAAATGGCTCAAGAAGTGAGTAAAAATTTGGAAAGTCGAATAAATTGACGAGGGAAGGTCAACCGGGTGTGGTGGTCAAATGACACAAGCCATATTTGACTTTCGATGCAGAATTTTGCGCTAATTCCGAATCTGCTTTCCGTTTTTGCAACGCAGCACTCTGTCAAAAGTTATAAAAGCTCAAAGTTTTGCATGGAATTTTTAAAGTTTTAAAAGTTAAAACATCCCTCGAGTTTACGAAGTTTCCAGCTGCCCGTGGTAGCCGAGTGGTAGTCGGCTAAAATAAAAGACAAACCGTCTCGGCTTAGAGTCCACAGTTTAGCTATCTTGGGAGTGGGACAAATGCGACCTTTTTTTTGCGCAACCGGACATTTGCGCACCTTTCCGCACCCCCATAGCGCATTTTCGGTTTAAAGCTCTAAAAGCTAATATTAACCAATTTCTATTCCAAATGTTGTTTTTCTAGGTAATTTTAGGGCTTAGAATCGAAATTTTGACAGATCAGAGCTTGTGGAAGCGAACGGACGGAGTTATACAAAGAGAAAAATCAACAATTTTCTGTAATTGTCTTTCAAATTGGTTCCACACGCTCTGTTATGTCAAAATTTGAATTCGACACCCTCAAATTACCTAGAAAAACAACTTTTGGAATAGAAATTGGTTAATATTAGCTTTTAGAGCTTTTTTAAAACGCGAAAAAAAGGTGCGGAAAAAAAGGTGCGCAAATGTGTGCCCAAAAAAAAGGTCGCATTTGTCCCACTCCCCTTATTTGGCATAAATTTCAGCTCATTTTGAAAAAAAGCTGAATTCATTTAAAAAGATATAAGGAAAATGGTTGAGCAGACCTTCAAAACAACAGATTTTCTTAGATCAATTTTCAACTTTAAGCATTTAAAGTTTGATGTTTATAAGGAAAACGTTTGGAAATGACTTTTTCAGTTTTCAGGGGCAAAAAAATTACCCAATTAAAACACGAGTTAAGCAGTGCAAACGCTCGTTTATATCCGAACAACCTAATACATTGATCGTTAATCGTTAGTCAACAAGTCAAAGTGAATTAATATCAAATATATTATATAAATAACAAAGCTTGCAATCAAATTGTAAGCTTACAATTTAGGCTCAAACACTTGACAGGAGCGAGAGTTCTCGTTGGTGACCCGGATCGACATCCTTTAGCTGAACAACAGTATTTGGACAGGTTATTTTTATCCATTATCGACCAATTTATCAATAATTTTCTTTATTTATTGTAATTTTTTAATGGTACTTGTTTAGATACGAAACAAAATTCACGAAGAGGTTGCTCACCGAATATTCCTTACCAGGCTACGTCACACGGGAACATTACGGCTTCGCAACTGCAAAAGTTTTGGAAATAGATTTTAGATGATCAATAAATAGTTCTGGAATTGTCATGATCAATAAATAACTTTTTTAATTCATTCAAAGTACCCGATAACAATGAAAACTTATCACAAATATAAGAATAAAAGAATTTAAAAGCAGATCTGGATTATGAAAGCTCAATCATAACAAATTACGAGATTTCTAACAACTAAATGTCAAGAAAGAGTCTGATTGCAATGAATTGGACTTAATGGAATCTTGATGAGAACTCCTCGCACTGGTTTTGCACAATGGTGGTAGTATTTGTAGTGTGCGGTGTCTGGTGGGTAAAACGAACGAAAGAGTAGACTGCTTGAACTTTGATCAAATCTAGATGGCAGTAGATTGAGAGATCTCGTTTGAAAGTGAAAATAAATTGATTGAAATTTGATAAATGAAACTTTTTGCAACGAATTGTCACTGACCGATGACAGCCGCTTGCTGGCGGACTTCCACAATAAAGGACTGAACCAGATGGTGCAATGCATTCCTTTGTCAGGGCACAAAGAACTGCCCTGAAAGGAGATTTAGTGGTTGACAAGCATTTGAATAAACCATTTCAAAATCGTTTTGCTTGTTGGAGTTGCACGAAAGAAAAGCACTGCTTCTCGTTGACTTTCATTCCGGTATTTCTCAGGGAAGGGAATGTAACGACGCATTCCTGAAATTAGAGTGTTCCTCGCGAGTAAGTAATTACTCGAGTAAATTTGCATGAGTAACTTTTTACTCGAGTAATAACTCGAGTAATTGTCGAGTAATGCGTTTTCTAAAAAGTGCGCCTGCGCGAAAAAAATATAAAAGCAATTTTTTTGCGCAGGTTTTGTGGTAGGCTAGTTTCCGCAATTTTTTTTGCGCAACAGGGTCATTTGCGCGACTGGGTTCTTTGCGCAACTGGGTCATTTGCGCAACTCGCCATAACTTTCTTCTAAGTCGACCAATCTTTATGATTTTGGTTTCATTTTGTTGCACTTATTCAGCTCTACAAAATGAAACCAAAAGCATAAAGCATAAGCATAAAGATTGACTCACTTAGAAGAAAGTTATGGCGACTTGGGCAAACGACCCTGTTGCGCAAAAAAAATTGCGGAAACTAGCTTACTCGAAAACCTGCGCAAAAAATAGCTTTTATATTTTTTTCGCGCTGGCGCACTTTTTAGAAAACGCATTACTCGACAATTTGCTTTCAAAAGGTACAAGTATCAGATGTAGTGCAATTCTAGTACCGATTTTGGTTTCATTTTGTTGCACTTATTGAGATCTACAAAATGAAACCAAAATCAGAAAGATTGATCGACTTAGAAGAAAGTTATGGCGAGTTGCGCAAACGACCCTGTTGCGCAAATGACCCTGTTGCGCAAAAAAAATTGCGGAAACTAGCCTACCGCTAGGTTTTTCAAAAAAAAAGATCATTTTTTCATTGGAAGGGAATTTCCCACCAAATCAGTTAAACGGCTGAGTATCTTTAAAAAGTGTCGTATAAAATGCGGAGCTCGTGATTTTTGCGTCATTTTTTTGCAATAATTTTTGCTAAAAGTACGGTAATTTTTCCCAATTGTGCGTTTTAAAAAACGCATTACTCGCGAGGAACACACTCTACCTGAAATACAGGGTGCGGCATAATTGCTAACCAAAGTTTTTAGAGAAACCTATTTTTCCATAAAACTTTTCACAAGAAATGTTATGTATTACCGTAAATACTGTAATAGTACCCCACCCCCATCGTACAGTCGCGTAGTCGCAAAAGTTTTTTAGTATTTCATTTTTTTCAAAGCGCCCGTACTTTCAAAAAATGCGTCTTTGGTATCAAAAAATAGCTGAAATTCAGGGCTATTTTTTGATACCTAAGCGCACATTGTAGCATAAACTGGTGTCGAGAAAAACTCGTTCAAAGCTAGACTACGCAACACTCCGCACCGTCATTATGGGGGTGGGGTACTATTACAGTATTTACGGTAGGTTAGATCAAAACCTGATTTCTGACATAGCTCTGACTAGAGAATATCTTGAGAACAATTCTAAAGCTGAGAGCAAAATTCACTAATGATTTGAAGCTAGCAGTTCCATTCTCAAATCAAGAACCACTCTGATGACACAAATCTATAAAAACACAAGAGTTCTTTCGATGTACTTTCAAAAAATGCGTCTTTGGTATCAAAAAATAGCTGAAATTCAGGGCTATTTTTTGATACCTAAGCGCGCATTGTAGCATAAACTGGTGTCGAGAAAAACTCGTTCAAAGCTAGACTACGCAACGCTCCGCACCGTCATTATGGGAGTGGGGCCCAATTACAGTATTGACGGTATATCTATTTAAAAGCTCCAATTCTCAGCTATATTAACTCACAAAGAGTTTTTTGATTGGAAAAACTTTCGGCTCGACGTGGGCGCACAGCAAACACCGCTACCATTTTTCACTATTCCATCAAGCTTTACTAGAAAAAGAGAGTTTCAAAAGAAGTTGTCTTTAGTTGAATAAAGTTTTAACGAGTCTATTAGTTTAAAAAAGAAAGCTTAACAGAATAGAGGCGAGTTGTAGCTCAAAAAAGTCTCCCGCTCTGAAGCAAGGCTCATTTTGTGGGGAAAGGAGAAAAGCCGGGTATGTTGAGGGTTCAAAAATTGGTGACCAAAACATTTTTAACCTATCATTTTTGTGGAAAACTATTGAAATAAGTTTTTCTTGATAAACTATGCACAACTTTGCCGTTAAGAAACGATTCTTCAGAGAGGATTCTTGTCTAGAACACCAAGAAAAATGTTAGCGTGCCGAGGGGTGTTTACTGTGCGCCCACGTCGAGTCGCCTTAAGAATTCGAAAATTTTTCCAATCAAAAACTCTTTGTGAGCTAATATAGCTGAGAATTAGAGCTTTCAAATAGTATATAAAAAATAACATTTCTTTTTGAAAGTTTTTTGGAAAAATAGATTTTTCTAAAGACTTGGATCAGTATGCCGCACCCTGTAGACATGGGCACTACAAACTACAAAAGCTTTGAACTTGCTTCAAATCTCCCGGATTGACATGATCTATAGCTCAAAAAATAGAAGTTCTCAAGAGCTTTCGAATGAACCGAAGCACACCCAAAAACATCAATGCTAAAGAAAGTTACAGTGGTTTGTAGCCTGACTCGAAATAGACCGTACTCGCGCGTAGTCGAGTCAGGCTACAAACCACTGTAACGTTCTTCAGCATTGATGTTTTTGGGGGGCACTTTAGTCCATTCGAAAGCTCTTGAGATCTTCTATTTTTTGAGCTATAGATCATGCCAATCCGGCAGATTTGAAACAAGTTAGAAGCGTTTGTAGTCAAACAGTCCGTCACTTTTGTAGTTTATAGCGTCAATGTCTACCCTGAAAGTAGAGTTGAACTTGAATTTGTAAAAATTGATAATCACTCACCAGGATGAGTAAATTGGATTTCTTTCGCCACTTTTTGGCCAATCATGAATTCAGGAGCCTGAAAACGTTTTGAATTTGCTCATTCTAAACAAAAAGTTTGCCTTTCCATTCTTCACATCCAGATAAAATTGCTGTAGAACGGGCAATTGTTGAAAGACGAGCGATGTGTCGGCCATCCAGAACACATTATATGATACCGAGACTTCCTGGGGCATAAATTTTGAATGAAACTGACCAATGAGAGCACAAACTCACAGCTTCAATCATAACTTTAAACGCATAAGTGCCGAGTGTTTGTACATGAGCGGGATACGCTGAAAAGTTGAACTGACGTACTTCCAAATTGCACACATTTGCGAGTTCGGCTAACTAAAAATTTCAGAAGATTTGCTCATTTATAAAGCCAAAATTTCATGTTCTATGCTCAGAGCTTTGTTCTAAACGGAAAACCCAAAGGAATTCGGATCACTACATGCTATTACCGTAATTATTCTAATCGAATTTCGGTTGTCTTGGGTTGGTGAATTGAAAACTGCGGGACTTTGAACTAAAATTTATTCAACATAAAACCATCAATTCATTCCAAATAATCTCCATTATTATTGACGACCTCTGCCCATTTTACAGGCAATTTGCGGATTCCTCTTTCGTAGTAGGATTTTGGTGTGTGTGTGAGACAAGTGTGAGACTCAGAAATGGAGGACTGGAGATGTCCCAGTTTGAGCACTTTCTTCAAAAGAAATCCATTTTGGTGTCAATAGAAAAGTTGTAGAGAATCAAAAATTAGGGTTATAGCCAAATTTCCAAAAAGATACACTTATTAGTTTCGATTAAAATGCAAGTTTTGTGAAAATTCGTAAATTAGGCATTTCTTGAAAACCAGTTTTTGAATCGTTCTGAAAATTTGGATATAAGCTTAATTTTTGATTCTCTACAACTTTTCCATTGACACTAAAATGGGTTTCTTTTGAAGAAAGTGCTCAAACTGTGACATATGACAATACCCAGCAGTTTTCAATTCACCAACCCAATATATGTATTTTATGGCCAATCCAGACCGACAGAGATCTTTCAAACGGGTTGTTAGCATCTGTTAATCAGGCTAGACTGTACCTGTAGTGCCAGGCTAGACCTGACTCCTCGATTGACCCTGTCCTTGCCTTGTCTGGCCTGACTTAAAAAAGTCTTAAAACAAAACTGCAGGTCAGGCCAGAGTAGACAGACTAATCCAAGATCATATAACTATTTCAATTAATTACCCACCTCTCCTTTGTTCAATCCAATATCATAATAGATAATCTTGTTTTGAAACTTTTTCCGAAAATCTGTTAACATTTGACGACTTTCTGAGAAATGATTGCTCGATGAGTAGCTGATGAAAACGACTTCTTTATAGCTGAATTCAATTTGCTGACATAAGGCAAACACTTTCCAAACTTGAAATTTTTGATCTCCGTGTTTGCAATATCACTCTCCGTCAAATGAAATTCTTTCAAGTATTTTAAAAGTGAACAATCGAACATTTCGCCAATGAGATTTTCAACTTGAAAGCAAAACTAGAAAAAGATTTTATCATAAAAATTTTGTTCAATTACCGTTTCTCCTTTACATTTACAGCTTTTCTCAGCGATTACATTTTGAGATGTGCCTTGTGAGGAATGATCGACTGACAATAGAAAAAGAAGAACAATGATAGATGCAAAGATGATCAATAAACGCACAGATTTTGATAGTCGGAGCCTGAAACCAATAGGTTTATCAAACCAGTTGCCTAGACCGAGGGCCGAAAGCTAAAAGCCAAGCCAAGAGTCAGCTCCTATGCTGGCTGGATTTTACTACAGGTTTGAAACCAGCCTTGAACCTGGTTTTTGGCTTATGTCTTGTGCCTAGCTTGACGTGCCATCCCTAAGTATGGATGGAGTATTTCTAGGAGTAAGCTAAAAGCCAAGCCAAGCCAAGCCAAGCCAAGCCCAGCCAAGCCAAGCCAAGCCAAGCCAAGCCAAGCCAAGCCAAGCCAAGCCAAGCCAAGAGCCAGCTTCTCTACTGGCCAGTTTTTACTACAGGTTTGAAATCAGCCTTGAACCTGGCTTCTGGCCTATGTCTTGTGCTTGGCTTGCCATCCCTGATTATGGATAGAGTATTTCTAGGACGATCGGTACTTTTGTGTTATCTGGGGGCGAATTTTCCCCGCAAATCCCACTCGCTTCTTTAATCACTTTGATCTTAGAGAGCTTGCAGCACTTGGGCTAAGCCTGATTCCCCTAGGGCTGAGATGAGTTTCGTACCGAAGCTACTTTCGTACCAGGAAATACAAGGCCCTTAAAACCTCTGTTATGAAAGTAGCTCCGGTACAAAATTCACCTAGGAGCCGTAGGAGAATCAGGCTTAACCCGGGTGCTGCAAGCTCTCTAAGGTGCGAAGTCAAAGCCTAGAAAAATAAACAACACTGAAAGACAGAAAATGTGAACGCAAACTATTAGAAATGAAAGAATAGAGTTCAAAATGAAAAAGTGAACGCCAAAAGTAAAAAAAAAACAAAATCAAGTAAGATCAAGCGGAAAATGAACGCAAAAGATTCCTCCCAGCTAATTTTTTTCTGAGATTTTCTCCTCCCAGATAACACAAAAGTACCGGCCGGCTAAACCAATTGCCTGATTTGAGTTGGATTTAACCAAAACTTAATGGTTTGATCTGCTTCAAGCCAGATCTGCTATTAAATCATCAAAATCATTAAACTTTTACCATTCCGGCCGCATTGAGAGTAAATCGTTGTATGTAAAGTAATAGAAATCTAGAAATATTAATTCAAAGCCCAAAGGCATTAAAAACTGAAGACCGTTGGAAAATTGTCAAATTTGCAAAAGTGTACAGCTGATGAATCGATTCAGCGCCAAAAAAATAAAATTAGATTATTTTGGAAGAATAAATTAAACAGCCGTAGATCTATTTCCAAACATTTCCATTTTCATTTCCAATTACGGGTGTGTAGCTATGGAAAACCGTCAGGAAGGGAGCTGGGTAACTAGGCAATGAAAGAAGGGAAATGGTTGTTCTTTCAGAAAGAACAATATTTAAGACAAAGACATCTTGGCATTATCAGCAAGTTATCAACATTAACAACAAGTTATTGGGTTGTCCAGTTATGAATGCGCGTTTTTTACTATTCTGTAAATTTCTCAAGATACCGAAATCAAGAAAAAGATATATATGAGTATTATTGGAAAGCTGAAGATCTCCTCTACATTTTGATATAAAAAGTTTTTGAATTTGTCCAGCTTTTGGGCAAATTGACTGCACAGAAGAAGAGGTGGCCAAAAAATGGAAGGGTGCCTTTGGATCAAGTTTTAGCTCCGCTCAAATTGAGTTAACCGTTTGATGTTTGGCCAATAGATATATCAATACAACTTTTTTTAAAATATAACAATTTCAGAGCATCTTTACTTTTCTTTTCTGGGCGGTTATTTTACACCATAAAACTTGAGGAATAGCTAAGCCGGAATGGGTTTTTTTTGAAAACGACCTCTCCCTTTGTGCAGTCAAATTCCCAAAAAGTTGAATGAATTCTAAAACTTTTTGATTCCAAAATGTAGAGGAGATCTTCAGCTTTCGAATGATATATAACACTCATATACATCTGTTCGATATCTTGAGAAATTTACAAAATAGTAAAAACGCGCATTCATAACTGGACAACCCAATATTTTACTCCAAGTGTTTTAAAAACTCATTAATCCTTATACAGTAACTTTTAATAAAAAAAATTGATACTACAGATTGCTGCTAAAGCTGATAGAGTTAAAATTATCAAAAGAAATTGATTTTGAAACAACTTACAGCGAGTGCTTGCTCATAATCAGCAAAATTAAATCTAGTTCAATAGGTTCAATCAAACAAAAACATATGTTCTGGTCAGAAACAGTTCATCAAACCACAGTCCTGAAGTCTGAAGCGACTGTGTCAACAGTTAGTTTTAAAAAAAACTAAAATCCATCCGGAAGTCACTTTGAACAATCCATATGACGAATTCTACAGGGCGCGCCATAATTGTCGCAACAAGGAATCAACAAGATAACTACCTGGCTCTTCTCAAGGATGAATTCTTGCCCTGGGCTTGTAAACATTTTGAAAATCGCATTTGAACTTATCAGCATCAGACTTATCACCGGTCCACAAATCCAAGAAAGTCCAAGTGTTTCGTCAAAACAACTTCCCGGACTTCATTTCTTTTTCTGAGTGTCACCTAGCTCTCCTCAAACCAATGGATTTTTCAATGAGGTTCTAGAAGCCAAAGCTTGTTCAAAGCCCTACAAGAGCATCGAAAGCTTGAAGAAATCATTGTGGAAAGCGTGGGAAGAGCTCGATCCAACCTATTTGGTCGCCACCGTGACGCCTTCCCGAAACGTCTGCGAGCTTGCTCAAATCCTAATGGTGGCCGATTCAGATTTGATCGCTGATTTATAATTGTTAATGTACAATAAATGTTATTCAGTTAAAACTTTGTCTTTTTTTCTCTTGTCTGCCTTAAAATCAGAAATTTATCTTGTTGCGACCAATACTTAATGTGTCATATCATTTACTCCTCAACCTCGCCTTACCCCATCTTATTAGGTACTTGCAAAAGAGACTGCGGGTCAAAAAAGCCACCATATAACGACTGTAAGTAAAGATGATCCGAGTTGATTCATATCTTTAGAAACCTCAATATCTTGTCTTTTTAACGATTTAAAAAGAATTCTGCAGTGATCGTTTTTGAGCAGAATGTAGACGTTTTAAAAAAGGTACCAAAAAACGACTTGGCGGCAATCTAAACTTATAATAAAGGATTATTTTTGAAGAAATCTTGGTCTAAATCATTGACAGATCAGAAGCCAAATCTTAGTAAAAGCGGATTTCAACACTTTCATAAATTTCCAACGATAGAAACTTGATATCGATGAATGGTATAAACTATTTGAAAGTTGTAAATATCCTCTACAAAATAGGCTAAAAGGTGTTTCAATTGATCGAACCATTGAAGAAATTTCGAGGGCGAAATGCGAGTGACCAAAAAAGGAATCGAGCCACTTTAGGGACAAGTTTAACGTGGTCAAAATAGAGTTAGCTTCCCAAAATTGAAGATTTAAAAAAAGGATAACTATATATCAATTCATTACCTGGATGGAACTCATTACCCGGATGGAACTTACTCATTTTCTGGGCAGTGTGTGTGTGTGTGTCAAGCGCCGGCAAAAGAACACACAATTCAATATGTTAAAGTACCCTATTGTCAGATTAGCTCATGAAATTCCTCAACAACAAAAGCTGGATTCTTCAGAAACACTTTTATCGTTTTCTAAGGAGATTTTACTATATAATCCATACTATATAATTCATATCATGCCCGTAAAAATGTTTGTTTTTGATTCTTTTTTGTTTTATAAACCGCTAAACGCAAACTTTATCTTGCATTTCTCTTCAAAATCGACAAAATAAAGCAAAACATAAAAACAAATCATGGAGAAATAAAGCTGACCGTAGAGTCTAACAAGCATTTTTTAAAGGGAATTACTGTACAAGAATATATGCAAATTACGAAAAAAAAAAGTCTTCGAAAACCTATCTTGCACATTCAATATACAGCACATTTAACTGAACCAATCTAAAAGAGCCGTAAAAATTGGAGTTAAAATTCGAAAATCTAGCATCAAGACACCGTCAAAAAGTTGAAAAAAGTTGAAAAAGATTCTAGAATTAAAATATTTCAAATTGAGCACAACAAAAATTTGGGGAAAAATCCCGTATTAAAGGAATTACGCAAAAAAAGAAATTCTTTTAGAGGCACTCAAGAAATTTTTGGAGTTGAAAGAACAGAATTGGAACGAGGGTTTTGAAAGAAATTGCCTTTTTGCTAAAAGATTAAAGAACGGTAAGATTTTCAAGTTTTAGAATAGCGAAATGTTCCTTTTTTTCAGAATACAGTACACTACATGACTATGAACTAGGACGAGAGGTTGGAGGCGCCGACTTCGCTATGCTACCATTCTCATTCGGCGACTGTTGGGCGTACATGTCCTGAAAAATGACATCAGTATTTTGAAAGTTTTGTGGAACTTTATTGTAATACCGGGTACAGTAATATTTGTTTATATTTTAAGTGTTAGACAACTCATTATACAGACAGAAAATACAGTACCAAGGAGCCTGAGCTTATCCTTTGTAGCTCTATTCAGTCTAATACTATCATAGGTATTGGACTTACTTAATTGACCAATAAGGCGATCAATTGGTATCAATAGTGATCATTATCTGTAAAAGATCAATAACCAGATCTAGTAGGTACAAAAAGCTAGGTTGGTGCGCCACTTGTGATTAAATTTCAGTTACCGTATTCTCTAATAGTAGTGCACCCCGGCGAGCCGAGTTGATAACTATTTTACGGTTTCCAAGTTTTCCCAGGAGCTCAACACTCTAATCCCCCACAAGATCTCATCGTCAGCTACATTTTCCGACTCCACATCGATAGGTTTTGATATATTTGATTAGATTTTTATTTTAATCATCAATCTTTATGGACAAAAGCATCCCCGTGCCAGACGCTTTTATTTACGGAGCTTCTAATGGCCTTAATTTTTCTTATAGTCAAGCTATCGGGCTAAAAATTGGAATATAAGTGTAAAAATGTTATAAAAAAGAAATTATAACAAACTTTAAGTAATCTGACACATTTTCTGCTAATGCTAATGCTAAGTTGGTGCGCCACCTGTGGTTAAATTTCAGTTACCGTATTCTCTAATAGTAGTGCACCCCGGCGAGCCGAGTTGATAACTATTTTACGGTTTCCAAGTTTTCCCAGGAGCTCAACACTCTAATCCCCCACAAGATCTCATCGTCAGCTACATTTTCACCCCACATCAATAGGTTCTGATAAGCGCTTTTCGAGATTTCGAGCAATTTAGGTGACGCTCACGGTGCACTACTATTAGAGAAAATACGATATCAATGACAATGACAATGATCAATGACAGGTCCAACAGCTAGACGCATCAGAGAGATGACTTCTTGCTTCAGTTCAAACGCCACAAAGCACATGTCTACTCATTGTCAGTGTGTAGACGTAATTCTTTAACTAATCAATAGTACTACTTGTCTACTTTAGTTAAAAAGTTACTAAAAGTTTGCTCACTTGTAGAATGCCGCCCAATCTCGCCGTCTCGTCGAGCTGTTTCCTATACTGTTCGACGAGATTCTTGATGAGTAGTTGTGCCTCAGAAAGTCTCGATTCAAGAATCAATTTCTCGCTTTCAAGCCTTTCTATTGTTGGGTTCACGTCACTCCATTTGGTAATCGGCGTCCTAAATGGGTAGAGTTAGCCTTTGAACCAGTCACACCATCAAAATATAGAATTGTTCCACTTATCGAAACTCTACTTTACGAAAGCAATGATAGAAGCAATGCATGCTGACCTACGCCATTCGGCTGTTTGTTGACTATCCTGTGAGCCACCCATTGAGCATTTATAACGAGCTGATGAGGAACCGTTTTGCATTGAGAAGAGTACTCGTAGCTCAGCCACCTGAAAATTGGCTTTGCAGTTTAATCTAGAAAAGTTCAGGCAGATGTTCTTACAATTAAATCTCCTAGTTTTCTTTTAGATGGAACTTTTCCAAGGTTTTGTAGCATTTTGCGTCAGGACGAGTTTCAAGTAAATAATATTTACATTTACCGTATTTTCTCTAATACTAGTACACCCTGAGCATCGCCTAAGTTGCTCGAAATCTCGAGAACCGATTATCAGAACCTATCGATTTGGGGTCGGGAAATGTAGCTGACGATGAGATCTAGTGGGGGATTAGAGTTGTTGAGCTTCTGCAAAAGCTTGGAAACCGTAAAATCGTCATCAACTCGGATCCTAGCATCTGTAAGCCAGGCCAGGTCAGAGTTTAAGTCTAGATACTTAAACAAGTAACCTTGAAAAGCCCTTATCAAAACCTATCGATGTGGGATCGGAAAATGTAGCTGACGATGAGATCTAGTGGGGGATTAGAGTGTTGAGCTTCTGCAAAAGCTTGGAAACCGTAAAATAGTCACCAACTCGGCTCGCCGGGGTGCACTACTCTTAGAGAAAATACGGTAAATAGACTTTTTATCTTACTTTTTCTTTTGCCGCTTCCAGTCTGCCCTTCAACTTTCGAATCTCTCGCTTGAGCACGATTTTATCCTAAAGAGAATGAATTTTATGAAATGAATGAATTCGAGAATGAAATTTTAACCTTTATTCAATTATCTCTATTGAATTTCTTGTAAATTTTTGTCACTCACATCACTCAAACTTCCAGCCGAACTTCCAATATCCTCAATTCCACTTTCGGCTGTTGTTGTGTCTCCAGTGCATGTATGATAGAGTTCCCTCAATCGTGCATCCACCAATTCACATCGTTCACAACGAGAGCTCATTGATGACATGCTCTAAAATGAAAAAAGTGTTTTCGAAAGTGTAATGTCAAGTAAAAATTACTAGTATTACTTTGTGTTCAAAATTTAAAGTTTTTATTAAAATATACCCTTTGAAATGGCATATGATGATGTCTTTTTTCTACTCCAAGTCTCGGGGAGATTTGTTCAAAGATGGACGTGCTCGGATCGAGATTTCTAAATCACAGAGTAGAAAACAGATACTTTAAACAAAAAAACAGCTTCTACAGGATGCCGTCACAACTACCTGGAATCACTTTTGCTAGATCATAGATGCGGTAATGCAACCGATCTCAAAGCCACCGGAAAAAAATGCCATTTGATGGCGTTTTATGCTCGTTTGTTAAATGTAGCCACACTCAAAACGCAAACTATACATCAATTATTGATTCTTGATACATTATTTTGTAAAAGAAAACAAATTTTTAAACAATTTTGGCATATTTGATGACCTAGAACCCCAAAAACGAGTTGCGACCCGACCAATGTGAGACTCCGAACTTTAGTAGCTTCTATAACAAAACATCAATCGCTTAGATAATGAGCACCGCTGCATCAAAGCATCTTCTATAAGCATCAAGCGCTTAGATAATGAGCACCGCTGCAGGAGATCATGTCACAAGTTTATTCCAGAAGGAATTATTGAGATCGGTTGCATTACCACTATGGTCTAGCAAAAGTGATTTTGGCTAATTATGACGTACAAAAGCCATCAAAATTTTGACTCACTTGTACTTCTCAATCAGCGCCAAGAAGTTGTTAGTGTTTTTGTCGATCAAGACAGAGCTTGTGTGTGCGCGGACCTGGAAAGGGTTTGAATCAAACATTAGTAGATAAATTTAAATATACAAGTAAATATTGAAATTGTAAGTCTCACCTGATTGCGGTATTTGTCCCTCATCTCGGCCAGCCTCTTCTCATAGCCGTTTCGTTGACCTTCCAGGGAAGATTCGAGCATCTGAAAAGTTTGATAGATAAAGTTAAGGTATTGATTGATAGATCGATTGATATTAAAGTAGTGATTTAATAGAATCAAATTATCGATTGACTGATTGATATTAAAGTATTGATTTAAAGAAATTAAGTATTGATTGATATTAAAGTATTTATTTAATAGAATTAAAGTATCAATTGACGGATTGATATTAAAGTAGTGATTTAAAGTAATTAAAGTATTGACAGATTGATATTAAAATATTAATTGATTGATATTAAAGTAGTGATTTAATAGAATCAAATTATCGATTGACTGATTGATATTAAAGTATTGCCTTAAAGTAAGTTAAGCATTGATTGATTGATATTAAAGTCTTGATTTAAATGAATTAAAGCATTGATTGATATTAAAGTATTGATTATTATCATTTCAAACATTAAACATTAAATACCCACCTTGATTTGACGCTTATATTGCTCGATGGCGGCCGGTCCCTCGCTTTGTGTGGAGGCGGATATCCGCTGGAGTTCGGACTCAAAGTCTTCCTAGAAAAAATTGATTTAAATTTAACAATGACTTTCAAAACAAGTTTAACGCTAACTATAAGTATAAATCTCAAATCTCACTTGTAATCGAGTCATCAACTTCATTTTCTCGTTTGCAAACGATTGCTCCAACTGAGATCTCTCACCAGATATTCGAAGCTCAATTTGTCGTTCGTATCTGAAAATTTTAAAACTTTTTAATCCCACTAACAAAATCTGTAGCTTACTGAGAATTCAATTGTTTTTCTTGATCGTTTAACGCTTCGGCGAGTGTCTTGCTAGCGGTAAGTTTCATTTGGGCGAGCTCTCGGCGATGATCATCCTAAATCAAAGCTTTATTCCGTAATTTATCACAAAATATTACCAAATTTCATATCAAAAAAGCTTCTGCAAGTATTTAAAGCCAACCTGCAGTTTCCCGACTCTATCCTCCAGCTGTTTGATCGAATTCTTGTGAACAGTTGAACTCGAGTGACTTTTCGGGATCTTTCCTTCAGTAGAGGTGGATGAAGAGGCATCTAAAACGAGATAAAGATTTAAATTTGTCCAAATTTCTAGAACAAACCATCTTGTTGTATAGACAGCCGAGCCAAAAGTCGTTCATGTCGCTGTTTTCGTTCTTTTCGTTTCCTCAGCCTTCTTCGTCTTACTCGAGCAAAGATTGCCTCTGGCTCACTGTCCATTTCGGAGAGAGTATCACCCCGAGCTACTCGTCGTTTTCGGAACATCATTACCTAAGAATAATATTAAATCAGGCTATATTTAGATCTTTAAGATCCGGTAATATCTGGTAATGTAATTTCTAGATCGGACGTAACATATTTGTTACGTTCGAATCCGAACTAAGCCCCTGACCGCGCCACTTTGGAGGGGAAATAGAGAAAATCCAGAGGAGGGGAAATAGAGACAATCCTAGACAAGAGTTTTTTAGAGCAAGACAGGTAGATTCTTAAAATGAAGCTAGCTGTGAAGTTAATTTCATATTTTTTTATTAAATTAACTCCATAAGTAGCTTCACTTCAAGAATCTACATATATTGCTCTACAAAATAAGCTATTATAGGCTATTTTTGGTTCACATTTGAGTCACTGACAAATAGCTTAGAAAAGTGTTAAAAAATGTCGGTTTTTTTGTTTAATAGAAAAGTTATGCTGAACAAAATTTGTTATATTTTAACGTATAGAGAGTTTTTCTGCATCGAATGGTACCAAATTTGTACAAAAATATTAATTCTGCGCGATTTTATGCAATTAGTTTAGATTGGGCGAACATATATAAAAGAGCAGTGTCTGTCTGTCTGTACAGGCATTTTCTCGGCCGTGTTTTGACCGATAAAGCTAAAGCTTGTTTAGAAAACCTTAGAATATATTGTAGTTGTGTCATTAGAAATAAAAAATATAAAAATCAAAATTGAGTGGGATTACGGGGGGTCGAACCCGGGCCGTGTGGGCCGTGTGGGTCGTAGACAAGAGCGCTCCCGACCGCGCCACGGCGACAAGGACTAGCCGCAAAACATCCAGACAGAAAAACCCAAATTTAGGGGGTTTTTCTGGTCGGTTTATAAACCAAAATCCTACAGCCAACAAGCCACTCACTTGTGATTTAAAAGCCGACGACCATTTGGTAAAAAGTGGATTCACATCCCTCACCGCTTTGTTCTTTTTCTGATTCAGCGACAACTCTTGCACTTTCTCTCTCAACCTCTAAAATTCTCATAAATTTAAAGAAAACCATCTGCTTTTGCACGAACTTTGTTGTGAGCAACTAAAAGCTCGGTTTTTTGCTTCCACATGAGAACATTTGCGTTGTCATCTTGTGGTCGAGGTTGCATCGCCTGGAAAAAAAAAGGGAATGGATTGAAAAGTTGAAGGAGTGCTATGCTATATTCCTTTATTATTCTATTCGATAAATCACTGTTTTATGTTACTAATTTGTCTATTAATCCTTTTCAAATCAACCTTTGATAGCTCTGTCCTCAGTTGTCGATTGAGCTGCTCGAGTTGAGAGATCGTTTCGGTGAATTCTCTAAAGTTTAAGAATTTAAGTAGTTTGTTATTTGTTATTTGTTAAATTGACAATTTTAACATTTTGTCAATTATTAACAATTAAAATATTAGGTGTGTGAAAAAGTAATCGACGTTTTTTATTTTTATTTTGTTTAAATAAATATATCTAAACAATTTTTAATTTTTTGTTAACGATATATATATCGTTTAAAAGCTTATTTTTTCCTCTTTCGAATGATATATTCATTTTGTTAAAAGGACGACAATAAACTACCTTCATTTTAGTTTGAAAATGGTATCCACAAGTATCGTTATTCGGTCAAATTTGCTTTATGAGTTCAAAAATGGGTTGAAAGCTGCGGAGGCTGCACGTCGAATTCGGAATGCGTTTGGCGAAGACGCCGTTATTGATGATACCGCTAGGTTTTGGTTCCAACGATTCAAAGGTGGTAATGAAAGCCTAGACGATGAACCACGTGGCGGTCGCCCTGAGACCTGTTCGGATGACCAAATAAGACGCTGTCTTCTCGAAAACCCTCGTTCAACCTCTTCAGAAATAGGCCTTACATTAAATTGTGATGGGTCAACCGTAACGCTTGAATGCCATGAATTTTATCAAAAAGTTGGACAAATGGAAACCGCATAAACGTTAAAAACGTGGATTACTTTTTCACACACCTAATAGTTTCTTATTTGTTAAATTGAAAATTTTAACATTTTGTCAATTATTAACAATTAAAATAGCTTATTTTTTAACTACTTACGTCATATAAAGTGTCATAGATTGATCTAACGATTTCATCTTGTATAATTGTATAAATAAAATGAATTATAGAAATTTATAGGCTCAATAAAGAGCCAAATGTTCAGGATCTCTTTGCAAAAGAAATGGAAAAAAAGGGTGAGTTTTTGTGACAAGGTGGTGCCAAGATGAATGAGAGGATCGAGAATGAAAGATTGCTCAAAAGGGGAAAGAGGGAGTCACCTGTGACACTCAAAACCCTTTTACCCACCCAACTTTTGTCGTAGCAAAAAAAAAGCAAAAACCTAAGCGAATCAAAAGATTTGTAGCCTGTCATAGAAGATTTTTCCTAGTCGATCACTCATTTCGAAGTGGTGGACAAGGACAACTCTTTGGTCAGAGAAAGTGATTGGGATCGGAAGTGGACAAGGATTTGAAGATTGATCAGTTTCAAAGGAAATTCTCCATTACTACTTAACTATTCTAGAGGCTTAAGATAAAAATCATTATTAAAAAGAAGTTTGGAGTCACTTTGACTTGGCTATGTAAGCTCAATCCAATCCCCGATCACAGGATTTCCCCCAATTGCTGGTCAGAAAAAGGCAATTTGAACAAATTTTTCTGAATTCAAGGATTCATTTCTAACAACTATATGAAGTTATCAATTTACCTAGCCTCCTCATTGAGTCTACCGCATTGCCTTTCCAGCATCGTCATCTTATTACGCATCGAGGCTTCAGATTGTTTACTTCTTGAGAGATCATCGTCAAGCTGAAACAATTGATATGGGCAAATTTTCGTAATTGTTTTCTTAAAATGCATGTTTAGTGTCAAAATATATCTGAGATTCGGGGCTTTCGTTTGATACCTAAGTGCACACTGTTGCATAAAACGGCGCTGAGAACGAGGCGCTTAAAGTTAGAGTACGTGACGCTCCGGCCGTCATTACAGGGGGCTTCTATTAGAATAATTACGGTATTTTAAACTGTATAAAAGCCACAAATATAGCTGAGACTCGTGGCTATCGTTTGGTACCTAAGTGCACACTGTAGCATAAAACGGCGCTGAGAACAAGGTGCTTAAAGTTAGAGTACGTGACACTCCGGCCGTCATTACAGGGGGCTTCTATTAGAATAATTACGGTATTTTAAACTGTATAAAAGCCACTAAAAGCCACTAAAATAGCTAATACACTCACCTTATCAATATCATTTTGCAAATCTCTCTTCTCTTGCCTTGACTTCTCTTCGACTTGACCCAATTTCATTTTGAAGCGCTCTTCGGTTTCGCTAAAGTTTTAGATGTCTAACTTTTTAAATTCCAAGCCAATTACCGTAATCTCGACTCAAAAGCTTGTTCGATCGAAAGTTGATTCTGTTCGAGTTCCTCAATTAACATCGTTCGTCGTTGATTTGCGAGTTGAAGCTGCTTTTGAAGGTACTCGGTCTGTGTTTCGTTCTCTTTCACACAACACCTAAACATTGTTTGTTAATTGTAATCTATTGATTTAAAACAACAATTATAAAGTTTAAAACCTACCGCAAATAATCGATACAAGAGTGCAAAGCGATGATGGCGGTTTTGACGGCTACTGGAGCTTCAGCAGCCGCATCGCTGAGCTCTCGTTCCAAAAATCCAGAGAGAAAAACGGCGTTCACTGTGCCAGCGATCGGTTGACCACATTGCTAAATATTCTCAATTGAGTAAGCCAGAAGGGAAATGTTTACAGATATTGAATATTATTTTAGCCTTATCTGTTTTGTCTATTTGGTCTGTAGTTAAAGCAAGGCGAGAAAAGAGAGACTTTCCTAACAACACCAAAATCAGCCGGATACCCGCTTGTCCTTCTCTTATATGATTTTGTCCTAATAAACCGTTACCTATCTAATTCCAATTCTAACATCAAATCGCAGGACAACATTGCTAAGGTTGGTGGTGCTTACATTATTATACAAGGGCACCCCTCTTCTCAGTCCGAAATGAGTAGGAAGCGGACAGCTGGGAAGAGTCTAGTCTTCAAGGAAAGCCTGGTACGTACGTGGGATTTAAGTGAGAGAGTTTAGCTACACCATAATTACTAAACCTATACTTTTGTATCGATTTGGTATACAATGCAGATTTAAGCCTTATCTATTTTGTCTATTTGGCCTCATAAGCACAAAGTACGAGCTGAAAGTGAGTTTATTTCCCCTTCAACTTTACTTTTGCATCAATCCCTCTATTTTTGTGAGCTCTCATTCTACCCAATCCAATACCCATTCTATTCACGAAATCATCCCCCGAAATTAGCTTGGTTTTTGACATATTTCCTATTGCACTAGGAAAGCCTAGCCTAAGCCTAAGCCTAAGCCTAACCCTGAGCCTGAGCCTGAGCCTAACCCTAACCCTGAGCCTAAGCCTAAGCCTAACAGAAAATGGGGGTTTAGCCCAAACCCAAATAGACTTAGTGCTAGGCGCTAGCCGCTAGCCTTCGCACTAAGTCCAACCCTGAGCCTGAGCCTGAGCCTAAGCCTAAGCTTAAGCCTAAGCCTGAGCCTAAGCCCTTCAACTTTACTTTTGTATCAATCCCTCAATTTTTGTGAGCTCTCATTCTACCCAATCCAATACCCATTCTATTCACGCAATCATCTCCCGAAATTAGCTTGGTTTTGACATATTTCCTATTGCACTACAAAGAGAGTTATGGACTTGTTAGAGCAAGAGAATTGCCTCCCCGCAGAACAGCGAATGCCTCGAAAAGCATTTTCACATGCCCATTGTTTTTTTTGTGTCTCGATATTGGGTGACCTCAATTTGGTGAATAATTTGGCAGAATTTGTGGAAGATTTGTGAGGATTGAAGGTCAAAAAAAGTCTTTTCCACAAACCTTCAAAACGGAAATCCCCTCATCGATCCTCAGCCCCGCCTTTGACCAATACTCGAGCAGATCTTGACTGTCAATGGTACTGAAATTTTGAGGATTTCAGTGTTTGAACTAAAAAGCAGCAAATAGAGTTCTTCTAAACTCTAAAAATTATTCCTTAGCTTGTCTTTCTGAGTTTACACTAAAGGTTTTTCTAGAGTCAAAAGCCAAGCCAAGCTAAGGTTATGGCTTACTCTTTGGCTTGACCTTGACCTGGGTTTCACACCAGTAATTTCATACAAACGTTTCTTGAGTTTACTACTACAAATTTTTGAACTATTTTCTTACTGTTAAAACAATTTCTTGATACTTTTCGCAAATTTTTGGTGCTATAGTAGTTCAACGGGGCCAGTTTGTAAACACCGGCCTTTTCCCACTCGCCATTAGTTTTAAAAACTTTTTCTAGGGCAATTAATTAAACTGAATCCATTGGAAGTATTTATAAACCATTCTGAACAAGTTTTATGCCAGTTTTAGCAACAATTCCAAGCCTTCAAGGATGGCTCTATTTCCACTGGGTGCGTGGTCGAATTAAGAGGCTTAAAACCTGATTCTGGACAACTTTTATGCTAGTTTGAGCAACAATTCCGATCAACTGCTTGAAATAAATAGAAAACAGTCAATAAAGCTTAAAGAAATCTACAATTAAAGACTCTATGAACAAAAGTTAGTGCGCTTTGGCTCAATAGAGATGAATGGCCAACCGCAGCACAAAATTTAGTAGCACCAAATTTTCTGTCAACCTCTACTGAAATCCTTGTGTTAAAAGAAATCTATTGCAAGACTCACCCCGTGTTTGCCGTATCCAAAGCGTCGAAGAGATTCAACGTGGAGACAAAAGAATCGGCAATGAAATGAACCTGAAACTTGAGAATGGAATTTAAAGAATTGTTTATGAAGAAAGGTACCCCGATTATTCGTAGGCAGTAATTATTGGCTTCTTGTGAATATTCATGAAGTCTGGGATTTGATTGGAAAATCCACTAGGTGTGAAAAGAAAAGAATGCGAAAAATTCTAGTATGTAAGCAAAATTTTTCGCTCTGATTTTTATAGGGTAGCTCTTGTGGTTTAATTGCAGTTATGTCTCAGTCTCTAGGCTTTAACTAGACTCTAGACTTTGATTTAATATTTAACGATAATCTGGTTTTGTGTTAGGTACTAGACTCTTAACCATAACCGCGTTGAAAGCCTTTAAATGGAATTTGAGTTTTCTAGAAATGCTTTTCTGGTGAGCTAAAGCCTGAAGGTGAAGGTGAAGCTGAAGCTTCCTGGTTCTTGTTTTCTTGTTTTTATGAAAGGTGCTCTTTGTGATCGCAAAATTGGTAAGAATTTTACTTCCAAAGCAATCTTTCAATACGCTAGAAAGATAAGATTTCTATAGAGCTGAAAGTACAAAAAATCAAGCCAATTATTGGATTGGTGAATTGAAAACTGCCGGGTATTGTCATATGTCACAGTTTGAGCACTTTCTTCAAAAGAAACCCATTTTAGTGTCAATGGAAAAGTTGTAGAGAATCAAAAATTAAGCTTATATCCAAACTTTCAGAACGATTCAAAAACTGGTTTTCAAGAAATGCCAAATTTACGAATTTTCACAAAACTTGCATTTTAAGCGAAATTACTAAGTGTATCTTTTTCGAAATTTGGCTATAAGCCTAATTTTTGATTCTCTACAACTTTTCTATTGACACCAAAATGGGTTTCTTTTAAAGAAAGTGCTCAAACTGGGACATCTCCAGTCCTCCATTTTTGAGTCTCACACTTGTCTCACACACACACCAAAACCCTACTACGAAAGAGGAATCCGCAAATTGCCTGTAAAATGAGCAGAAGTCGTCAATAATAATGGAAATTAATTGGAACGAATTGATGGTTTTATGTTGAATAAATTTTAGTTCAAAGTCCCTCAGTTTTCAATTCACCAATCCAATAATTTTATTATTACTTTTATTATATTAATGTTATTACTTCGTGTAGAGGCACATGTGCATACTCGAGAGAAATCATGAGAATCAATTGCTTTAAGAATAACAACTCAACAGCAATCAATCAAATCCATTTTTGTCTAGCAAATGAGAATATGTTCCTAAATCAAAGATTTTCAAAGAATCAACTGAAGGGAAAAAGTGAACGAATGGACTGAGTGTCCCTTTTCTTTTTTTTTCTTTGAAAAGCGCGAATTGAAGGGTGACTTTTCGGGCAAAAAAAATACGAACAAGTCAAAGACTGTCTTTTCTTTTTTTTTCTCAGCAAAAAGCGTGAACAAACTTTGACCAAAAGAGCTGTCGAATTTGGAAAAAGAAGAAATCTTTTTGCATTTCGTGAAATTTTATCCACACCCAGCTGTCTCATGTCAACTTGAATTAGATCTGAGAATGTTTACGACAAAAGTTAAAGGTTAAATGGGTTTAAAGTTAAAGGTTTTGAGAATTTAGGGCTCGATTAAGCAAGAATGATACAGAAATGGTTAGATTGAGATGTACATTCAGTCAAATAGGTTAAGAGGATTACTGAGCTACTTGTAAAATGATAAATGAAGTTCTAAGTTCACTAAAAGCAAAAATGATCTTAAACGTAAAGAATTCTTCATTTAAAACCTAAAGAAGGAACTGTTTTCGCAAAAAAAAATCGAGTTGTCAATAAAATCTCTCAATTCCCTCCCAAAATATCGATGTTTACCCTTCAAATTTTTTTTCTCTTTTCCCTTCGTTTGACTAGAAATGCATTTTATGGCCACGTATTGAAAAGAGTTTTTTTCATCGAAAAATTCTCCAAAAAGTTTGCTCAATTTGATCGAAATTAAATGAGAAACCATGAAGATTACACTGGTTTGTAAAAAGGAAAAATGGAATGGAATTGCCTGAAATGCGCTGAATGGAATGCCATTTATCAGCGCCATTTTGTGCGAGTCTGGTATCAAAATGTAGCCCTTCAATTAGGTCTTGGTATAAAAACTAATAGAAAAACTCTTGTTTAATACAAGAAAGACCGCAAAGTGAGCACCAGCACTGCAAACCCAGCACAAGACGATACATTGTTGCGATGTGCTCTCACTTTGAACCCCATTTTTCTTTTACTAAACAACAGTTTTACTAAAAGTTTTTATATCATTGTGTAGCCGAATTAAAGGGCTAAATTTTGATGCCAAACTTGCACAAAGCGAAAATGGTAGATGGCAATTCCATTCGACGCAATTTTCTTTTTTACACAGCCCCGCAATTTTTATTGTCTCTTAAATTAAAAGCTGAAAAAGCTGAAAGCTGAAAGCGAGTACAAACCTCAGCGGATAATCGCTTCTGTAAACGGAATTGTTGAAGGAATTGATGAACGGAGACACGGCCGTTTCTACAAATGACGTGTTTTGTTAGCTGTACAGCATACCGTATTTTCTCTAAGAGTAGTGCACCCCGGCGAGCCGAGTTGGTGACTATTTTACGGTTTCTAAGCTTTTGCAGAAGCTCAACACTCTAATCCCCCACTAGATATCATCGTCAGCTACATTTTCCGATCCCACATCGATAGGCTTTGATAAGCGCTTTTCAAGATTGCTTGTTTAAGTATCTAGACTTGGACTCTGACCTGGCCTGGCTTACAGATGCTAGGATCCGAGTTGATGACTATTTTACGGTTTCCAATTTTTCCCAGCAGCTCAACACTCTAATCCCCCACTAGATCTCATCGTCAGCTACATTTTCCGATCCCACATCGATAGGTTTTGATAAACGGTTTTCGAGATTTCGAGCAATTTAGGCGACGCGGTGCACTACTATTAGAGAAAATACGGTATATAAAATTTTAAATCAAGATTAGATCATAAACTTTTACTCTAAAAAGGCTAGAAAAAATCATAAGCAGAATTGCTTTCAATTGTTCTCATGAATAGATTGATTTTATACAGAAAAAAACCCAAATTGTAATGTCATAAAAGCTTTATATTCTTTTATAGACAACAAACCGATCAATATCAGCTCGATCGAAGAGAGCCGATACATCACCCGATGTCAATGATTGCAGTTCACTTGTATTCTCGCATAAAAGTCTCGTCTCGTAGCGAGTGAGTCTAAAAATCTTTAAAAGTGTTTAAAAGTGTTTAAAAGTGTTTAAAAGTGTTTAAAAGTGTTTAAAAGTGTTTAAAAGTGTTTAAAAGGCTTTAAAAAAGGCTTTAAAAGGCTTTAAAAGGCTTTAAAAGGCTTTAAAAGGCTTTAAAAGGATTTAAAAGTCTTTGAAAGGCTTTGAAAGGCTTTGAAAGGCTTTAAAAGGTTTTAAAAGTCTTTAAAAGTCTTTAAAAGGCTTTAGAAAGCTTTAGAAGGCTTTAGAAGTCTTTCAAAGGCTTTAAAAGTCTTTAAGAGTCTTTAGAAGGCTTTGGAAGGCTTTGGAAGGCTTTGGAAGGCTTTAAAAGCATTATTTAGTTATACAATAATATTGAGAAAATACCCACTGATACTCGATCTCGTACTCGTACTCCGACTCAGAATCTTTCTTTTTTCGTGGTGGGAAATACTCCATAGTGAAAAAAGGAATGGGAAATAGATCAAGTGACTTTTCTATACGGATTTGAGCATAAAAAAGCTTTTTAAAGATAAATATGATATTTGAAAAGCTAATTTCTATTAGAGTATTCTATAAATACTCTAAAAGTACTCTCATAATGAGTCAAGAGCGTAGTCTAACTTTGAACGTCTCGTTCTCCGCGCTGCTTTATGCTAAAGTTTGCGCTTGGGTATCAAATGATAGCTCTTGAAATCAGTCCTTTTTTGGTATCAAAAGTTTAGTTCGGAAAAATCGAGAAGCTGAGATAAAAATGATTTTCTAGGTTAGATTATAAGATAGGCTTGCTTAACGAGTCTGAGCCAAATTTTCAGACAGTCTGTCTCACTCCTCGATTTTCTTTACTACCCAAAGCTCCGTCGAGCATGAAACCCAGTTCCCCCGTAAGCCCTTATTCTAGACTTCATTTTGATACTAGACATGGCTAGATTCTGTTTTGCCATTTTTTCGAATTCGATGATTTTAGATGAAAATTTTTCTGGACTCATTAATCTTATCGAGTCCGGCGAAAGATTGATCAAAATCTAAAGAATAACAAAAGGGAACCTAGCCATGTTTTGTATCAAAATGAAGCCTAGAATAAGGGCTTGCGGGGGAACTGGATTTCATGCTCAAAGGAGCTTTGGGCAGTAAAAAATCGAAGAGCGAGGCAGACTGTCCGGAAATTTTTCCCAGTCTCGTTAAGCAGGTCTACTACCCGACTATACCAGAGAGTGACGTTCTATTAGAGTATTAACGATAGATCTCAATGTTTTGGGTATGCAAGTATGAAAGAATAAAGTCAAGTGTGAAGCTAGTCTACAAATCAGAATTTTTCGTCTTCAGCTTTGTTGGTGTTGATTCAAATGAGAAAGTAAACAGCAAACAGGATAAATGAATAACGTTTTTTTGAGCTATGTAAACAAATTCCGTAATAAAAACTGGAAAATCATAAACTCAATTGAAAAGCCTGAAGACTAGACTAGGATTGGTTCGATTTCAAGTCAAGCTAAACGATTTAAACGATTTAAACAACCAAATCAAAACAAATGCAGTATTTTGTGAATTCTGTGCATTCTAAAAGCTTTAGTAATATACCGTAAATACTGTAATTGGACCCCACCCCCATAATGACGGTGCGGAGCGTTGTGTAGTCTAGCTTTGGACGCGTTTTTCTCGACACTGGTTTATGCTACAATGCGCGCTTAGGCATCAAAAAATAGCTGAGATTCAGGGCTATTTTTTGATACCAAAGACGCATTTTTTGAAAGTACGGTTGCTTTGCAAAAAATGAAATACTAAAAAACTTTTGTGACTACCCGACTGTACGAGGGGGGTGGGGCACTGTTACAGTATTTACGGTAAGTTTCTTTGGTTTTACATAGATACCAGATAAGCGACAGTTTCTTGCCAAAAAAATGGGGCTGAGAACGAAATGGGGCTGAGAACGAGGCGCCTAAAGTTGATCGAGGAAGGGGACGTTTATTAGAGGAAATACGGTCACAGCATGATACTTACCGTAAACACTGTAATAGTACCCCACCCCCATAATGACGGTGCGGAGTGTTGCGTAGTCTAGCTTTGAACGAGTTTTTCTCGACACTGGTTTATGCTACAATGCGCGCTTTGGTATCAAAAAATAGCCCTGAATTTCAGCTATTTTTTGATACCAAAAGCGCATTTTTTGAAAGTACGGGCGCTTTTAAAAAAAATGAAATACTAAAAACCTGTGCGACTACGCGACTGTACGAGGGGGGTCGGGGTACTATTAAAGTATTTACGGTAGTTAAATTGTACAAATTTATAATTGTAATGCTTAGGCAAAATCGATAAGCTAACTCAATCGTGAATCCGTTTTTCAAGGTCTAAAAACCCGGTAAACCAAGTGAATCAACATCAATTTTTTTTGAGAGCCATAAAATCACAAAAATTTTAGTCAAAAATGGCTAGTCAACCCCTTCTAACAGAGAGAAAGACAAAAAAAATACCCTTTCTCTCCAGGATTTCCCTATTCTTTTCATGTCACTGACAATCACATCAATATTCTTTTTATGTTCTTTTCAATCACTCTTTCAGTAACTTTGATGTCGTTTTTTTTTGTGTGAGGGAAATTGTGAATTTTCACGCTCACTCATCACTAGATTATGTAAATTTTTGGCAATTTTTTACTAGTTTTTTATGAGAGTTCAAAATTTTGAAACTAAAAAAATGGGAAAATGTTGAGGGTTTATTTTCCGGTCACTTGTTTTCCCCTTACACAAAAAAGATCAAGATAAATGGAAAGATTGAAAAGGAGATAGGTTTTTAAGGAGAAAAGTGAAGGATAGTTTTTCACGTTTGTTTCTTTTTTTTTTTACTAAAGAAAAACACGTAAAAATTAATTAGCACATAAAGTATGGTAAATAAAAATGTAATTTAAATTGAAATTAACCTAAATTATTCAAAGTTAATGCAATTTCAAGTTTTCCTTGATCAAGTACATGAAGAAAAATGCATTATCTGCTAAAATAAACGTTCAGAAAAAAAAAGTACTGGTTAAACGCTGAAGGTTTGGGGGGTGGGACAAATGCGACCTTTTTTTTGCGCACCTGGACATTTGCGCACCTTTTTTTTGCTGGAAAAGGCCTTAGGCAAGGTCGTAGAGCTTCGAAAATACTTCCATAGAAGGGAATCGTATGCGTAGATTCCGAATTTCGACAAATCAGACCTCGCTGACACGTCAAATTTGGGCTAAAAGGCAAAAACTGCGGAAAAGCGTTAAGTTGCGTAGTTTTTGCCTTTTAGTCCAAATTTGACGTGTCAGCGAGGTCTGATTTGTCGAAATTCGGAATCTACGCATACGATTCCCTTCTATGGAAACATTTTTGAAACTCTACGACCTTTCCTAAGGCCTTTTCCAGCAAAAAAAAGGTGCGCAAATGTCCAGGTGCGCAAAAAAAGGTCGCATTTGTCCCACCCCCAAAAGTTTGTTAGCTTTAAGACAGGAAAATCCATTGGGGTGACACTAAAAGCTTTCACAGTCGAATAAGACACTAGAAATACCGTATCCTAAACAATTTCACGTATAAAAGGACCCCTTCTTCCCCATTTAGTCAAAATTTTCTTTTCAAAAAGTCAAAACTGTGTTAGCTCTAGCGTAAGTCCGAGAAGGAGTATCAGTTTGAGAGTCAAACTTTAAAGCAACTTTCCGAGATCACATTGAAACATTGAAAGACACAAGAGAAAAACAAAATAGCTAATAGATTACTGAATGGTTTTCATTCGAAAATCCATCATTTCCTCTCAAATTTTCCTTTCTTTTCCTTCCCCATTCCACCTCTTTTCCCCACCTGCAACTCGTGTCTCCAATCCCCAATTTTCGGGCATTTTGCACAGCTTTCGTCACCAATTCATCCACCGTCCCCGACGCGACATCGATTATTTCGGGCAGCAGTGCAACGAAACGATCTTTGAAATCCTGAAATGGGGATTTATTGAATTCCTGACCAAAAATCGATATTTAGAAGCTATACTAATCAGAGATGTTAACTTTTTTGATCTTCTGCCCTTTTTTGATCCGTTTACCGTTGACAATCTACGAATTTTGCTCGCACCTTGACCGGGTTTATTTGAAAAACGTTGAATTTGCTTCCATTCGATGCGAAATTAGATTTCCCATCGAATGAAAGCAAATTCAACGTTTTTCAAATAAACCCGGCTAAGATACGAGCAAAATTCGTAGATTGCCAACGGCAAACGATCGAGACGAACGACCAACGGAATCGAAAAAGAGGCGGAATTAACATGATTGATACTAATGAAGGCAGGCTGTAGCCTGACCTTTTTGGTTTTGGTCTTCGCATGATTTCAATTTGGTCAGGCTGTACGGTCAGGCTGTACGGTCAGGCTGTAGGGTCAGGCTGTAGGGTCAGGCTGTACGGTCAGGCTGTACGGTCAGGCTGTACGTTCAGGCTGTACGCTCAGGCTGTACGGTCAGGCTGCCAGGCTGTAGCCTGACCAAATTGAAATCATGCGAAGAATGGCTTTTAGAAAACATTTCTTAGTAAGTAACTCATTATTAGGATTTGGAAGTGCTGCAATTGAAAACTTACATGAAAATTGACATGATCTTCTCCATGGAGCACTCGCGTGATAATATCGGGAGCAAAAGCGGTCAACTTCAGCTTGTCACACAGCCTCGACAAGCCGATCGCCGTCAAACACTCCCGTTCGTCAACATTGCATGAGAGAAAGATCTAAAAGGGATTTTGAAGGCTGTAAAACAATGAAATAAATGAAATGAATGAAATAAACTAAATTTACTGAATAAATCTGCTACTAATAGGTCTATTTTGCTGCTATTATGGTCTATTTGATCTACAGTTTCAGGCACAGGATAAGCAAGAGAAGATCTGATTTATAGCTGATAAAAGATCTGATTCATAGCTGATAAAAGATCTGATAAAAGCTCTGATAACTATTCATAGATTTGCTACTACAGCTCAACTTATACTGAAGCAGTTCAGCTGGTTTATCTATTACAAGATCTATCTATCTATCAGCTGACTCTCTCAAAACTCTGGGGAGTCGATTCCAAATTCTGGCAGTTCTTATTATCAGCTGGTTTATCTATTACCTATTGTATATACCAAGTATCAACTCGACTTACTCTTTTCAACTCTTGCACATGCGCATTGTCGTCATTCAGGGACTCGTCTGTTGTGTTCAAAGAAGGCATCACAAATGGGGAAACATTTCCCTAAAAATTCACACATTGAATGTTTTGACTCTCTGCACGACAAATAGAATATAATCGATTTAAAAGTGGATTTAAAAGTAGATTTAAAAGTAGATTTAAAAGTAGATTTAAAAGTAGATTTAAAAGTAGATTTAAAAGTAGATTTAGATATCATTTGATATAAAATATCTAATGATATCTAAAGTTTTATATAAAATATTTCAAAGAATGAACATAGACAAAGGAAAAAAATCGGAAAGCGGAAAGGATTACAAGAGGGAAAAGATGGGCACGCTAAAAAGGACAAAGGAGTGAACAAGTGAAGGGAGATGGGAAGATTTTGAAAAGATTAAGAATAATGTAGACTAAACGTGTGCCATCGGGTCGCTAGCGGTTAGCTAAATGCAAAAGCGGTTAGCTAAATGCATTTTAGCATACGGCTTTTGTTTTCTAAAGCGTAAAATCACATTGTATTCACGTTTTAGAAAACAAAAGTCGTTTTCTAGATTGCATTTGACTCGATGGCACATGTCTAATGCAGAGATTCAGTTGTTTTCAAATTGTAAACGGTTATCAGCTATCAATCTAACTGATTCTTACTAATATTGTATCTAAAACAATTTATGAAAAAGATTTACCCAAGATTGGTTGAGATTTTATGCTAAATGTATCAAAAACAAATAAAAATTATCAAAAGTATCTTACTATTGGGCTAAAAGTAGAAAATGGCTAGCTTTTTCATAAGCTTTGTAGCTCTGTAGCTACAATTGTAGCTACAAGCGGAATTGGATCGACGCATTCGGTCACGAACATTCACAAAAATCACCGAACTCGTCGCCGCGCTTATGGGCCAAGATTATGGACAAGAATGGGCCAAGATTCCTCAGGCCACTATCGACAAATTGATCAATTCGATGCCACAGCGTTGTGTAGCAGTCATTACCGCTAAAGGTTTTGCAACGAAATCTTAGTTATTCTTTGGTAATTTTGAATAAATTGTCCGTCTTCTAAAGCGTGTCCAAAGTTATGACCCCCTAGAAAGTGGGTGTCTCGGGTAAAGTAGCTCAAAAATAAATGAGAATGAAAATAAAAGCCAAATTCATGCAGAAATAATGAAAAGGGCTAAAAACTGTATAAAATAGTCGATTTCGGTAGAAAAAGCTCTTATTAGCAAAAAGCAAAAGCAAAGTGAAAGAACGAACAAATTCTAGTTTAGGTGTCCAAAGCGGTGTCGAGGTGTGTCCAAAGTTATGACCCCTACTGTACTTAGTGCACCCATTGACTTGCGCGTTTGCTTTATTAGAATTGCTTTGTTTATCGTTCACTTTTTTTGTCCTTTTTTTAAATCAATTTTAGTCTGTTTATATAGATACTTTATTCAGGACCTGAGATAAAGTGCGTTAGATTTAAGATTAAAACACATGAATTCATGCAAATAACACGAAAAGGGCCGATAAAAAGCAACACAATGAAATATATGTAATGGGTAGCACAGATAACGTTAAGAATCCACTAGAGCTTCAAGATCAAGATCATCTACAGATAACTTAAAGGTTTCGATGCTATTGGACTCTCTCAAAACTCTGGGGAGTCGATTCCAAATTTTGGCAGTTCTTATTGGAAAAGAGTTATAAACAAACTTATTGGAGGTGACTGGAATTTCTAAAACGAAAGAACCTCTCCTTGAACTAACCGTGGGATTATCTTTAAATAAATCTCGAAAAAGAGGGATAGGTTGCAAAGTAAAACTAAAGAAGAACTGTTTGAAAGTAAAACTAAAGAAAAATTCTTATTTTACTGAGAATTCGTTAAAAGAGTGTACAAGGAAATCGACTAAGCAAATCGATCTGAAAATTTGGCTTTATGCTTAACTTCTTAGACTCTATCTTTTTTCTATTGATAAGAAAATAGATTTCTGTGAATGAAAGTGTTCAAATCGTATTCTTTTGCTATTGCCGCTCAGCTTCAAAGCCCTCCTTCAAGGCCTTCAAGGCCTTCAGGGCCTCAAAAACTCGAAAAACAAAGCCGTTTAAAACTCGTAATAGTTTTATTTTGCACAGAATTAATAGAGCTTTTTGATAGAGGAAATCGCAAGTTAATAGATGAAATCTGGTCGCTGTAAAGATAGATGTAAAAATGCTTGTCATTTCGTCAATATTTTCAACTTTCTAACCCAATATTAGTGAGATTTTAGCAAGAAATTGCTAAAATTGCCTTGCTTTACATAAATTTATGGCTTCTTGCTTAATAGTTAACAAAAATTAAGGAGAAATGTTTCATTTTAAATCTTACAATTGAGAATCAGCCTGCTAGAAAGCCTGCTAGAAAGTTTTGACGTTTGCTTTGAGCAGCAACATTTTAGAAATAGGGCAATCATTTGTTTTGATCACAGATTTTCGGAATACAAATCCAGAATCATTGTTGGTTTGAAACGCTAACGTAAAGTAAGCTAACGCTAACGTAAAGTGAGCTAGCGCTAACGTAAAGTGAGCTAGCGCTAACGTAAAGTGAGCTAGCGCTAACGTAAAGTGAGCTAGCGCTAACGTAAAGTGAGCTAGCGCTAACGTAAAGTAAGCTAACGCTAACGTAAGCAAAATTTGTTAATTTCTGCCCACTTGAATCAGTGATGCAATGATTTTTTGAATTTTTGACGAAATTCTTCTAATCTCTTGAACTCAGAACTCAGTATTCTCGGTCTTATTGACGGCAAGCGATAAATCGATTTATCAAAAAGGGATTTTCTCTGATTGTCAACAAAGAGAAGAAATGTTTGCTTAAGAAACAGAGGCCACATCGGAAAATCTCATAGTCGCTTGCTATTTGAAAAAAAACAAGTTTTTTCAATCAAATATATCTACAAGAAAAGAATTTCAATGCAATAAATTCTTTGAAATGTAGTTTAGATAAAAATAAAAAAGATAAAAAGCTTCACTTGTAAAAGTTAAATATTAGAATTTATCGAAATTATCTATATGTCGTAGCCGATGATGAATGAGTGGGTCTAGGAGCGTCCAACCATCGAGTATTTAGTATCATTCAACGCAGAATCATTAATAATTATGTTAAATTTTTGAAATTAGAAAGATTGGATAAAAAGAAAAAAAATTATGGGGCCTCAAAGTTTTCTCTTGAACAAACAGTTTTTTGCTCTAATTTTTTTTCTTTTTATTCAATCTTTGTAATTTAAAAAATTTAACATAATTATTAATGATTCTGCGTTGAATGATACTAAATACTTGATGGTTGGACGCTTCTAGACCCACTCATTCATCATCGGCTACGGGGGTCCCGCCGATTTTGAATGAAACGTTGTAGCGCCGGCAATTTTTAACCTAAACTCACAAATTTGGTACCAATCGACGCAGAATAATTTAATTCGCTACAAGATGATATAATATTGTCCTCATACATTAAAGGGTTGCTCTACTAGAAAGATTTGCCAAAGAATTTCATTCATAATCGGCTACGACATATATTTGAAGGAGATTGAAGAAGATTGACAATATAAATAATCAAAAGCTGAATAATAATCATAGGTAATCATAGATGAGTTAAGAATAGAAATAGATTTCCCTTATTTCCTCAAAACTGTCAACAGAAATCTTTCTATTATTATCGATCAAAATCTTGATGAGATTTCGTTTCTCAAAAGACTTTATCCATTCGTCTTTTCATGTTTTTTTTTCGTGAGAAAGTGCTCATGCATAACAAAAAACAGGCCTAAAGGAAAGAAAATGATATATTGAAAGGATTATTCATGAAGCCGAATCAAAGTCAAAGAAAGTTTTGAAATTCGAAGTCTGGATAGAAAGATAGAAAGAAAGAAAGCTAGAAAAATAGAAAGATAAAAAGGTAGAAAGGTAGAAAGGTAGAAAGATAGAAAGATAGAAAGATAGAAAGGTAGAAAGGTAGAAAGGTAGAAAGATAGAAAGATAGAAAGGTAGAAAGGTAGAAAGGTAGAAAGATAGAAAGATAGAAAGGTAGAAAGGTAGAAAGGTAGAAAGATAGAAAGATAGAAAGATAGAAAGATAGAAAGATAGAAAGCTAGAAAGATAGAAAGATAGAAAGATAGAAAGATAGAAAGATAGAAAGATAGAAAGATAGAAAGATAGAAAGATAGAAAGGTAGAAAAATAGAAAATTGGAATTTATCCCTTTAACATGAAGTTAAAAGTTGAAAATTAAAACTTGTCATGTAATTTATTAGAATTTCTCCTCTTTTCATAAAGTTATAAGTTGAAATCCAAAATATTTAATTCAAAACCTAATCACTGTCAAAGTCTTGTCAGTGTTTTGAAAAGAACCGGAACCATAAAATTTTTAGCAAAAAGAAACAGGATTTCTTTTGAAAATCGATATTTTAAAGTATTTTTGATGATTGATAAAAGATTTGAACGAAGTATGAAAGATTTGGACTCACAAAAAGCCTTAATACTCATTAAAACTCAAGTTCTTTCGGTTTAAAGAATCTCCAAAAGCCTCATTTTCTAATGGAACATCCGTAAAGTTATTCTTGAATAATTTCGTAAAAACGTTGCATGTTTTTAAGGAAAAAGAACCCTTTTTGAATGAAAAGTGAAGAGTCATCAATATTATGTACGAGAATTGAGGAAAAAAAAGGGAAAAGCTGAGGAGAAGACGGCCTATTTTGACCCATCCATCGAACCCACTTGGGAATTTTTGTGAAGAGAAAATTTACGGATTTCTATGGTGGCTAAAAGTGGTGTAAGTATGGTGAAAAAAGTGAAAAAGGAACGTTGAAAAACATCAGAAAAATCGTTTCAGCCTTTGTTGAGGCTTTAAAAGGTCGAATCACTGAAAACCAGTTGTTTCGTTAATAAGGAAAAAGGACAAATGAGATAAGCTATAGACCATTTGACGCAGAATTTCACGCTGATTCCGAAACCGCTTTCCGTTTTTGCTAAATGACTTTCTATAAAAAAGTTATACGTGTTTTAAGTTTTGGAAGAAAATGCAAAAAAAATTTGGAGCCGAATAGGG